CTGCAATTCCAAATCTACCAAATTCCGATGGTTGGCGCTGACACTTGTGGATTCAGTAGGTATTTGCAGAACGTCAAATGGTTTCAGGTTAACGAATGACGCAGATGGTAACACCGACGAGGAGTTGTGCAACCGTTGGATGCAGCTCTCGGCATTCGTTCCCTTCTACAGGAACCATAATACTTATGGTGCCCTTCCTCAAGAACCTTATCGCTGGGCAAGCGTAGCAAACGCATCCCGCATCGCCATCGCTGCTAGATACTCTTTACTGCCGTACTGGGTAAGTGCGTCCTTTTTCGATTGTTCATGAGGTTGACAGTAGACATACAAAGTACACGCTTTTTGCCAATTCCTCCATGGCTGGTCTTCCGCCTGTCAGGGCGTTGTTTTACGAGTTCCCTGATGAACCTGAGCTTTTCACGGTGGACAGGCAATGGCTCGTTGGAAGTGATATTCTCGTGACTCCAGTACTGACTCCAGGAGCTACGACCGTTGACGGTAACAGTCTAAATTTTACCAACGACATCCCTACTTAACATACTACATCACAGGTATCTTCCCAGGCCGCGGTAGCGTAATCTGGCGTGACTGGTACACGCACGCCGCCGTGAACGCTTCGTCTGGAAGAAACACAACACTAAATGCTCCCATCAGTCACATCAACGTCCACATCCGGGACAACTCTGCTCTGTTGTTGCATCAAGAGCCTGGGTACACCATTTATGAGACTCGCGAAGGCCCCTATTCGCTGCTCGTGTCTCTCAACGCAGCAGGCAAAGCATTCGGCACTGCATACGTGGACGATGGGATCAGTTTCCCGCCTGGACCGAGTCGGAGCCTCACATTCCAGGCTGCAGAACGCACACTGAAGATTGAGAGCCAGGGAAAATATACGATTCAGCAGAAGTTGGAGACTGTCACGGTGCTTGGTGTACAGAAGCCTACCCAGGTCTCGTTGCAGGGATCGCCGTTCAAAGGGTGGACTTACAAGGAGGCTACTGAAGAGCTAGTGATGACGAATACCTCTGTCAACCTTAATGGGCAGGTGACTTTGGTATGGAAGTAGTTTTTCTAGGGTGTATTACTGCGCTATTGGACAAGATCGCGCAGTGCGTGATCGAAGTCACAGAGGCATCAAGCTGGCTGGACGACTTCGCTCACTCACGGTTTGCGTTTTCTAGTCAAGTGTATCAAATATTTCTTCATTCAATTCGCTCAAGCGGCATTGAGATTGGCCCAACAGCGATCATAATGACTAACTCAGCGAGTCGCTAGAAATTAAGCCATGGACGACAACTTCAATACGAAGGCAGAAACAAGACTCACTCCAGTGCGAGTATGAATTACCTTCAACAAAGCGCAATTGTATCAGCAAAAGTGGTATGTACTGTGTACAGTCCTTTCAAAAGAAGCGCTGTGCTACGCGATGCTAGAAGTCACTTCCCTCGGCAGTGAATTTCCTGATATTGAGCGCTACGAAGAGATGGTTTTAGAGGGTTCAGTAATTCATGCAGGAGAACTCGCATCATGATATATCATTTAGCCCCAAAAAATTACCTTGTGTAATTATTTCAGAGCATTGTCGAGTTTGCTTGTCCGTATACCCTACGACCTCAGTAACGACGTATGGGCCACAGTTGAGTACGCTCCCGCAGGTTCTATCTGCTAAATCGATCAGGATCATGCCCATGTATATATGCAGGATATAAAAGAGGCTGGTGGTTATCCTATAGTGTTCCCACATCCTCAGAATTATCATTCGAGATCCACCTCAGAAGATTCCATATCACCTCGCACAAAAAATGCGTTTCTCCTTCCTCGCCGTCGTAGTTATGTTAACAGCATCTCTGTCTGTCAGTGCCTCACGCTGCGACGGAAGAGTGTGCTGGGCAACTGAAAACTGCTGCAAAGGCTCTTTTTGTAGCGAGTATGAGCAGATCGCTGTGCAGCCAGGATTCAACTACATGACTCACCTGCTCGTTCAGAAGACAATTACTGTCGGCCGAGTTAGCAAGTGAGCCGGCAGCCCGAGCGGTACATCGCAACAGCAAGTCATGTTTCCGTTTTCGTTTTGGTATCATGATTGATGGTGTGATACCTAGTTCGAAGTCGATCACTAAAGTTGTTCGTGGACAAATTTTTGTGCTGCGCTTTGGTATCATGGTTGACGGTGCAATACCTAGTTCGGAGTCAATCAGTACAGTTGTTTGTGGACAATTTTTTGTGCTCCTCGAGTAATGCGGGTGCTTGAACTCATCTGAACGCCATCGACCGCGCCTAGTCTGACTTGTCGTCCACTGAGCTGAAGTTCGAGAGACTGTCAAAACGAGCGGTCACTGCTGCTGATGTTAATACAGGGATGCCACACTACGAAGATAGAACGCATTGCGTAGACATTTCCTTACGATTTTTAATCCATCTATCTCCAAAGCAAGTTTTCCTTATTGCGTCTCCGTGCAGTGGTACATGTTACAACAAGCGAGTCATTGCATGTGTTAGCTTGTTTCGCGAGTTGATCTGCGCATCTATTGCATTGAGATGGTCGGGAGTTCATGGGATTTCACTGCGATGGAAGAATGATGCAGGTGGGAAGTCTTCGATGGTTTGACCAGGAGTAACTGCATACGCAGCCTACATCACGGACTTGTTGTCAACACAGAAATGGAGGTGGTTCACTTTGATATTCCCGTACAAACTGTGCATATTTGTTGATGCCCGTGAAATCGCCGGCAATTCCACATCCTAAACTTATTCTATCTCCTTGATCGATCGATAGTCTCGATCCATCTGAGTAAAGGAGGAGATATAAGGCGTTCATTTATGTAGGTGCCGCGGATAGTCTGTAGATGTGGTTTCGCTGCATCTTTCTTGCTCAACCCTTTCCCGTCATCCAGATTCCACCCGTATTAGGTGGGTTTCGACTGTGTTGGCCCGAGGAGGTAGTGCGATATGTCGATGGTAGTCACACGCGCTGATAGACGGGTGAGTCTGGTTGAATTTGGGGATTTGCATCCGCGCGGACGGTGAGCGTTTTGATGAACTGTTCAGACACCTGCATTTACGTAAATGAATCTGTGTTTTCTCGACTTCAGAATCATTATTCATATAACTCAACGTACGCTTTCGATAAAACAGATTTCTCAGTTGTCCAAACCAAAGGTCCTTAATTGTGGATGAGTTTTCAATTCCAAACTCTGTATCGACATCATACCGATCGAATTCACTGATGTCTGGGCTGCTGAAAATTACTGTCACAGGCTATGAGAGGTCATGACGTACATACGGGCCGGCGCCGCCACGTCCTGGTTTTCAGAGTGATCATCAATTCGCAAACTTGGACTCGAGCTGCTTCAGCACAGAATTTCAGATCTATGTGAAACTGCTAGAGATACAGTAAATTGTCTACCGCAAGTCTATGTAACATGGATGATGCAACGCGGGTTGCAATAAATCCATGATGAGTAGGTGGAAGCAAGTCGGGATCATTCTATACACAGCAATTGCCAACCAGGCAGTGGCGAGTCAAGCGACTGCATTAACTTGGTATCGTAGAGAGTCTAAAACTTTAGATGGAGCTTGTTATGGCTGTGACCACGACAAGTACTAGGGATTTTTGACCAAGCGCATGCCAAGAGCGAGGATGAATGTCGTCATACATCTCTGCGTAGCGGTAGTTGCAGGGTCACAGGCCTACAGGGCGAATTGCAGGTACATATAAGGGTGCAACGGGTAAGTGACATCATGAAATATCAACCGAGTACATATCGGAAGTATCGACGAGAACGAGCATCAACTTCTCAACTTGGTCGCTACGCTAGCAGAGTCACTGCAAGTTCAAATGATGAAGCGATGAGTGATTAGGATTACGCGGGGAGACCGGGGATTCGAGCGAGCGTTATGCCGTGATTACGAAGAAGAGAATTGTGGATGCCTATTGGCAGGCTAAATACGCTCCTGCATGTTCTTCCGAAAGTTGTGCTATCTGACAGCAGTAATAATTCTGCCAAATCGATTAGAATCGTGCTCATGAAATATAAAGGCTGGTCGTTGTCCCCCTCAGAAGAATACATATCACGTCGCACAGAAAATGCGATTCTCCTCCCTCGCCATTGTTGTTGCTTTGACAGCATCTATGTTTGTCGGTGCATGTTTGACTTAGAATCAATTTTGCGAAATAGGTGACGTTTGCTGCAAAGGCTTGGCTTGTAGCTACAATGTTGCCGTGAGTATGAGCAGGTTGCTGTGCAACCAGGATTCAACCACATGACTCACCTGCACGTCTTAGGGTGGATCACTAAATGATCTGGTCTGCATTAAAAACTGAGCCGGCAGCCCGAGCCGCAGCACCTCGCGATAGTGAGTCATGCTAGAAGTCTGCTTTCGCTTTGGTACCATGGTTGATTGATGCAATACCTAGCTCTGAGCCAATCAGTCACTATTGGACAGATGTTCATACTGCTCGAGCAAGTGGATGTCTGAAATGATCGACTGTGTCTAGTCTTGCTCGTCGTCCACCAAGCTTGAGTTAGAGAGGCTGTCGAAACGAGCGATCATTATTATTATTGGGAAACCGTACAAGAGCCAGTAGTCCCAAGCCTACTAGTGGATTCGCATCAGCAAACCCTCCCCCTTGAATATAATTTCGAAGACTATCATAAGCGGTAAGCTTAACACAAGTTAATGACAGCTGTCCAAAACTCACGCGCATGATCATGGACCCGAGCTGCGATGTGAAACTACCAGAATACAGCAAATTTTCAACGAGCAAGGAGCCGAGATCCGAGTGAAAGCAAGTCAGGATTGAGAAAAACGTTCTATACACAGGAACCAGTGACGAGTCAAGTGACAATAACTACGTCTAATGTATACCCTCTTCGGACTTTGAACAATAGCCTAGGCGGCGGCTATAGGCATATAGGACTTGGCTTCAAACACAACTACTTTCTTGCATACACCTTTTTTTTTTTGGTTTTGCTGCTCACAAAATCGACTAGCAAAACATGTTGGCTGCCTCTCGTGTTTCAGCACAGGTCGCTAGACAGGCCGTTCGGGTTGCTGGTCAACGTCAAGCTGCCCTTACCGCAGTCAGACGTCGTGGAAATGTGTCTGTTAGGTCTATCCAGTCGGTAGCCCAGACTGATAGGGTACGTTAAAAGTCTGAATCCCCAATATCATTTCTTCATTGTACTATATACGCAGGATACGATAACCAGACTTTTATACTCCATTGGAACCAAGCGGGAGGTCGAGCGACACCTCCGCATATTCTCCTCTTCCTCCCACCCATCCCAACCTGCCAAGTTCGCTGTTATCAAGGTCGGAGGAGCTGTGTTGGATCAAATTGATGAACTGGCCCTCAGTTTGAGCTTCCTGTATCGCGTTGGGCTCTACCCTGTAGTACTCCATGGTGCAGGACCACAGCTAAACGGCATCATCGAGTCTGAAGGTGTTATTCCAGATTATATTGATGGAATTCGTGTCACGGGTGCGTTTAAGCCAGTATTCATATTCTTGGTTTTCATGGCCAATATATTTTTAGATGCGAAAACCTTGCAAATCGCCCGACGAGTCTTTCTCGAACAAAACCTAAAGCTTGTCGGTGCCCTTGAACAGCTAGGCACTCGTGCGCGCCCTATCACCTCTGGCGTATTCACCGCCGATTATCTCGACAAAGAAAAGTACAAACTTGTTGGAAATATCACTCGCGTTGATAAGCGTCCTATCGAGGCGTCCATCAGGGCAGGCGCATTGCCCATTCTCACCAGCTTAGCCGAGACACCTGATGGCCAGATCCTGAATGTTAACGCTGACATTGCTGCCGGAGAACTCGCCAAGGAGCTTGAGCCCATGAAGATAGTCTTCCTGAATGAGAAAGGTGGCATGTTCCACGGCATCACAGGCCAAAAGTTGGACGTTATCAATCTGGATGAGGTACATTCTACATCGCGCTACAATATCACTAGTATACTAATTGCTCTATTTGCAGGAGTATGAACAACTCATGAAGGAGCCGTGGGTCAAGTACGGCACCAAGCTCAAGTTGCGTGAATTCAAGGAACTCCTTGACCACCTACCCCGTTCCTCGTCTGTGGCTGTCATCTCTGCCGACAATTTGCAGAGGGAGCTATTCACCGACAGCGGTGCTGGTACCCTTATCCGCCGCGGATACCGGCTCTTCAAACACAACAGCATCGAGAGTCTCGGCGCTGATCGCTTCCGCCAAGTCATTCACGATCGTGATCCAGATGTGCAATCTGGGGTCTCAAGTGTCACTAGTGTCCTCAGCGACCTCCAAAAGACGCCGTATACCATTTACGGCGATGAACCCCTCGACGCAGTCGCCATTGTCACTCACCCTGAAGGCGAAGTGCCAATCATGACCAAGCTTCTCGCCTCTCGCAGCGGAGTTCTCAACAATGTCATCGACAACGTTTTCAACGCTATTAAGAAAGATCATCGCAAACTCTTCTGGACTGCGAAGGTGGACGATGAGAACCGCTCCTGGCACTTTGAGCGCGCTGATGGAAGCTTCACGCGTGCTGGCAAGAGCTTGTTCTGGTATGGCGTGCAGGATATTGCTGAGGTACAGAGAATTGTCAAGGGTTTCGAGGCCAAGGGCAGACTTGAAAGGGCATACCTGCCTGTAGGACCGTCTGCTCCCCCTCAACCTGGTGCCACCAGGTCTTATTCTACCCTTGCCCGTCGTCAAGTACCTTCCGGCTCCCGGGGGTATGCAACTGTTGTCGCTTCGCAGCCTATATGTGCTGAGCCCAAGCGCCTTGCCTTGATCGGAGCGCGCGGGTACACAGGACAGGCTCTCGTAACCCTACTTTCCAGCCATCCTTACATCAATCTCACACATGTCTCATCTCGACAGCTAGCAGGATACCCTCTGCAGGGATACCCAAAGTCCTCGATCACGCACAGCAACTTGTCTGTCGAGGACGTTGAGCAAATGGAAAAGGACGGAGAGGTTGATGCATGGGTGATGGCGCTCCCCAACGGCGTCTGCAAGCCATTTGTTGATGCGATTGATCGTGGCGCAAAGGTGCGCAGTTCCGGTGAATCAAGTGTCATTGTCGACTTGAGTGCGGACTACCGTTTTGAATCCGGGTGGAAGTATGGGTTGCCTGGTGAGGCGTCTGTGTAAATACCTTGTTGAACTCCCAAATTTACCTGTATTTTTTGCTTCCATTTTCTTTCCGCGGGTTTCTCAGAGCTCTACGGGCGTGATGGCATCCGAAAATCGAAGAGAATATCGAATCCTGGATGCTATGCCACCTCCACACAGCTTCTTATCGCGCCATTGTTGAAGTACGTAAAGAATGCATGCGGGCCTACGGTGTTCGGCATCTCTGGGTACAGCGGTGCTGGGACTGTCGCAGGCACGAGCGACGCAGATGGCAGGCCGACGACGGTGCCCAAGGTCACACCAGAGAGCCTCGCTGGCGGTTTCCGTCCGTATTCGCTCACAGACCACATCCACGAGCGTGAAGCAGGCCGTCACCTAACCAATCTGCTTGCAGATCCCACTAACCCCATAAAAGTTGCCTTCATACCCTCGGTTGCGCCTTGGTTCAGCGGTATCATTTCAACATTGTCTATACCACTTAACGAGAAGGTGACTGCACGGGATGTCAAGGCCCTCTATGAAGAGAAGTATGGTGGAGAGAAGTTGATACATGTCAAAGCGGGCGTTCCAGGATTGTCGGACATTGAGAATAAGCACGGCTGGACTGTGGGAGGTTTTCAAGTCCACAGCGAAGGCGATAGAGCTGTTGTCGTGGTATGTTTAGCTCTCCTGTATGTAACATGTGCTGATTGAGATTAGGGTGGCTTGGACAATCTTCTCAAGGGCGCCGCAACGCAGTGCTTGCAGGTACGCCCCGCTAGTGTAATTGAGAGGTGTCAGCGATTTAAATTTTTTTGGCAGAATTTGAACCTTGCTCTCGGTTACGACGAGTATGACGGGATAACTGTTGATTGAATGTATCTGTGGGTTTTGCGTCTGACATTCTTCAGGCTTGTAGATCTAGTAAAACTATGTGATATCAGTGTTTGAAATCTTTATGTACCTTCGGATGTTCTATTTCTGCCAGGGTGCAGCTTATTAACCGATATCTTATCAGCTGCATCATTCGCCCAGACGACCAGCTCACGGACGCGGAACACGGCCGACATTATCATGATTGAAGGTTTGACGCTAGTAGTTGACAGCTGGGCGTCTCCCATAATTAGATCCGTTTTGTTTATGCTCCACCTCTCGACACTACCGCAATCTTGGCACATACATTCCTCCACAACTTATGGCCGGCAGTAATCAAGAGTACTTCCAGTCCGCCTTATATCAGATCCCTGAGCATGACCCTGTCATTCCTGGGGGAACTCCTCAGTGGAGCAACGCGCCCGATGTAAGCTACAAAGATCGCGCAGTACCAAGCGTGAGTCAGTGTCTGGGTCGGACCACTAACAAAGTACAAGAATCTTGATCTTCCCATTCTTTCACAGGTTCCACAACCCGTAGCATTCCAGCCTACAGATGAGCAGTTTTTCATGCAAAATGCATATGGAGAACTGCTCCCCAATGCGGATTTTCTGAAGCACCATTTCTTCAACGAAGGTCGTCTGACCGAAGCCCAGGCTTTGTATATCATCCAACAAGCGACTGCACTCTTGGCTCAAGAACCTAACCTTGTGAACGTAGAGAGTCCTGTGACAAGTGAGTCCGCCCTGGGCACAAGTGGGCGTGTGAGCTGAATAATTCAAGTATGCGGGGATATCCATGGGCAATATGTGCGTCATCCACGTTCCTTTTCGGCTTGCTTGCATTAACTGGTTTTGGGGTGGGCACAGTATGATTTAATGAAATTGCTAGAGATCGGTGGCACATTTTCTGATAATGCCTATCTGTTCCTCGGGGATTATGTTGATCGCGGAAATTTTGGAATCGAAGTGAGTGTTTGAATCCTTTGCAGAAGAGTCTGCGTTCTGATCTTGGCCTAGTGTCTGCTTTATCTATATGCGCTTAAGCTCCAATACCCGAAGCACATCACGCTACTACGAGGAAATCACGAATGCCGACATCTAACAGAATACTTCACTTTCAAACGAGAGTGTAAGCTCTCATTTGGTTATCTATGTCATACGCGCTACTTACGATGCGATCATAGGTCTCCATAAATATTCACCAGCAGTGTACTGATGCCTGTATAACTTCATTCTGCGCTCTTCCAGTCTCAGCGCTCGTAGATAACCGCTTTTTCTGCGTCCACGGGGGTCTTTCGCCACAGTTGGTGACTTTGGACGATGTGCGCAGGGTCTGTTTAATTCTGTGATTTCACTCTAGTGCATTTCGGACTCACTCAAGTCGTAGCTTGACCGGTTTCAGGAGCCTGGATCGAGTGGCTTATTGTGCGACCTTTTATGGTCTGATCCTGTGGTTAACTTTGGATATGAACACGAACATTCACAGCAGGGTCCGCCCCTGCCTCCTGGCACCACGTTCGAGCATAATGGGGTGCGAGGGTGTTCATACTTCTTCACGTAAGAGATGTCATGTGCGATCCTTTCCTAGTCTGAATTAACTGAAGATATGAGGCGGCGTGCAAATTTTTGGAGCGCAATAACCTGCTGGGGATTGTGCGTGGGCACGAAGCTCAGGATGCAGGGTGAGTAGTTCTCTGATGGAGTATGCTGTATAACTCTACTAAAATAAATAATAATGCCAGATACATGATGTACAGAAAGACACCGACAAAGAAGTTTCCTTCCGTCATCACAGTATTTTCTGCGCCAAACTACCTGGATGTGTATCACAACCGCGGAGCAGTGATCAAGTACGCAAACAAGAACATTACGATCCGTCAGTACAACTCGAGTTCTCATCCATACTGGCTTCCAAATTTCATGGATGGATTTACGTGGAGCCTACCTTTCGTCGGTGCTAAAAGTAAGTTAGAACAAATTCACAAATCAGAGTTTGTTTACAGTAGAGTTCACAGTCACAGAGATGTTACTTGCGATCTTGGCAACATGCAGCCCAGAAGAGTTAGAAGACACCGAAGTCTCTATCCAAGAGGGAGATGGATCCAGCAGGGCCGTTACGGACCTTGCCTTGCCGCCTTCCGAAGTTGCAGCACGTAGGCAGGCGATCAAGAGCAAGATTCTTGCGGTTGGAAAGATGCAACGGGTCTTCCAGCTTCTTCGGTCCGTGATTTTTGCGATTTGATTTAGTGCGGACTCCTCACTTGGCTGGCTGCAGCGAAGAGGCCGAGAACGCGTCAGAATTGGCTGCAATCGCAGGAGAAGAGTCCATCGCTGGTCTAGGCCATGTCGGGTCGGATTTACTGACGGCGCAAGGGACACAGATGAGGCACTACATTCGCAGTTTTGCCGACGCGTAAGTACTATTGTCAGTTCTTGCATCGCGGACATTTCTCACCAGTTACACCCGTATAGTCGCCGCTCAGATCTGCTGAATGAGCGTCTGCCGACATTCCAACCTACAGATTCGGTGACTGACTTCCCTGTAATACCAGCACCAAGTATGCGGCGCCGCGGCAGTGGCGACATTGACGGCGTGAGTATGGAGGAATTGATCCGCCGTGCACTAGAGGAACCCGATGAAGACGGTCTTCAGGGCGGAACAGTGGAACGAATTGCTGAGCGTGTCGCGATTGGGAGGAAAATAACAGGGAAACCAATGCCTCTGAAGAGATTCGAGACTGCGTGACGAACTATGGATGACATGATGATCTAGACTGCAACACCCAAGGATACTTCTGATTCCTGTTTCAACGCCCACATTGGTACATTACTCAACGAATGAAATGCAATCAAGGCATATTGGCCACAATTTGACAAATCTAACGTCAATCAGTAGCCTACAGACTCGAGATGAATGCCTGAAAGAGTTTTATACTGGGTGATGTTCGGCGATCAGTAAACCTCATATAGAAGAGTCAAGCACACCTTCTAAATAATCAGCCGCAAGGAGCCTAATCGACGCAAGTTGATTCAGATCATAATGGAACAAACAATGATGTGACACACAATTCCAATGCCACCTCGGGCGGTATGCGTTCGGTGAATTCATTCACATCAACACCCTCCTTGGATCCAGGCCCCTCGTAATAGGCCTTAAAAGACATGTACTCACAGACCTTCTCGACCACAGCAGCGCTATTTAGGCTATTAGAGGACAATGCGGGGTTCCTGAACGGGTTGCTACCCACCGTTCACTGATCGGACATGTGTTGGCAATTGCCTCCCTGAAACTACCTGCAGTGCGTAACAGTTCGGATACCAAAGCAAAGCTTCCAAAAGGAATGAGAGCTCACTGTCCTCGCTAAGCATGTTTTTGAGGGTGCCACTGATCGCAGCGACACTTCGCTTCACGAGAAAGGAGTAGCCGTCGGAACTGGTGATCTTTACCCAGTCATCCCGCTTTTCAGTGCCTGCATCCTAGAATGCTGCAAATCAGCACAAGTTCGTGGTAGTTGGCACATCATTTTACATCCATCTGAATATCGTTGGACATTATGAACTCACAGGTGTGTGTGGAGAAGGCCAAGAGTCGGTAGGACGTAAAGTGTGAGAATAAATGACCGTATATGGACTCCGAAGTCAGTCCGCTGCGCCAAGTAATCTCGTTTCCATCTCATTCATTGTCTACCACCGTGCACGACTTGCCCTTGAGCCCTAGATATGGCTCTTCCCAAGGCAGGTGTTCAATATTATTTTCCGAAATGACAAGTTTTGAATATGATCTGGTACTTATCTAGCGGATCATCAAGGTGTGTTTAATCGTGTCTACAGCATCTCCCCGGTAGTCAGCCATCCCTGACCATGTTTCTTTCATCTATTCTCCATTTCTTCGCATAGGAAACTGAGCGTCTCGTCGCAGACCCCGCGCCTGGAATCACTGCTGCGCCGCATGAGGATAACCTACGTTACTTTGACGTAACGATTCAAGGGCCTGATGGCAGTCCTTTCCAACGTGAGCCGCCGAGATCATAGATGATGCATTGTCGGAATGCTGAAGCGTTCGGTAAGAGGGCGTGTTTCACTTGGAACTATTCCTTCCGGAGGAATATCCCATGAGTCCTCCAAAGGTGCGATTTCTTACAAAGATATACCACCCAAACATCGGTAAGCTCTTAGATTGCCATAATGCCTGCACTATCTAAATATGTTTCGGTACGGCAGACAAGCTGGGTAGAATCTGTTTAGATATTTTGAAAGGTGCGTTCGGGTACCTCGTGTTAGTTCCTGCCGGTTTGAACCCTACTGCCTTACAGACAAATGGTCCCCTGCATTGCAAATTCGGACAGTCCTGTTGTCGATACAAGCCTTGCTGAGTGCGCCCAATCCCGACGACCCACTGGCTACCGATGTCGCCAAGCACTACAAGGAGGATGAGAAGGACGCACAAAGAGTCAGCAGGGAATGGACGGAGAAGTATGCGTCTAAGTGATAATATTGGAATGAGAGGTGGAATATTTGGAATTATGAAAGTCCGGAGGGACGAGTGTTGTAAGCTGAGTATAACAAAGCATGAACCCTGGCAGATAATTTGTACATGAAGTGAGGACTTCAACCTTTGTCTTCTAATTCTGATTCGGCGTGGATGCGGGGTTTGTGCACCTAGATCAAATTAGACGTGGCCTCCAGGAAAGGGGGACTTGGTGTGGTCATCCATTGATTCATATTCTCGTAAGTCGCTCGTAAGGGCAGCACAATTTGTATTTATCGTTGTGCCGAAATTGAGCTTGGGTGTTAGTCTAGACCGCGAAATCTCGGCTAAGTCTAGAGCCTGTGAATTCGGCACGATTGATCTGACACCCTTTGGGCGTTTCTCAGACTAACTTCGCCATATTTACAGGCAAGATAGCACAGGCTTGAAGATCAACTACCAGCATTGCCAGAGCTTGCCCTCAAAGGTGGGGTTCTAGCCAAACGTGCGCTTTAAGTTCGCGCTTTCCGTGATACTCGTCTGTACGTTACAGCACCATACAAGGCTTCAGAATGCACGGTGCTGACCACCTGTCTTCTTGCCTCACTGCACCCAGAAATTTTTGCTCTAGGTCACAAGGCTTCTAATCGCCTTGCGCACCCAACACAATTGGTCCAAATACCTTCTCCAATTTTTACACCGTGCATACGATATATCCCTCTCGTCCCGTCATGTCTATCTTGAACGCGGACATAACACACATCCTCATCAACGATCTCTTGTCCAGTAATGGGGGCTCACCGTCTGCGCTTTTGACCCTTGCCAGCACAACTCGATCTTTCCGCGAGTCATGTCTCCCCTACCTCTTCTCTGAGGTGCGGTGGCCCCATAAATCCAAGGCTGACAATGAATCAGGCCTTCATTTCTTCCCTGAAGGGCTTTGGCCATATATCAGGTGAGCCCGTCGTTGTCGTTCCCCTCTCCCACAGCATCAGGATTCACCCTGATTTTCGGCCTAAAGGCACTTTCGGTTAGAATGGTTTGATGAATGGACAGAACCCACTCGCCTCAAGTGGGGAACGATAGACAAAGATGGTAATTATATCCCTCGCGACCTGGTCAAATTCAATTTGGCGATTGAAAAAATGCCCAAACTGTCGAAGGTGACATTGAGTTGCCCCTTCATCATATCCCGGTCCCTTTTTCAATCATTGGGTCTCTCGCGATCCCTCAGCGCCATCGCATTCATCGACACGCCGCTTCAAATAGGCATAACATCTATCTCCCCCGTTACGTTCAAGCAGATTTCTCTTACACCTGTTGGGCAGACGCTTCGCATCGGTGATGGACCGACAGATCCAAGGTTTTCTGACATCACGTACTTCATACGTGACTGGAGGAGGAAGTATCGCTCGCAGGCCAACTTGAGGCAAGTCCAAGAAACACAAGCCTCCATCGCATTTGTCAAGACGCACGCGACACACATCACACATCTAGAGCTGTCCGGCAGTTTATGCTCTTTTGGTGCTCTATCCAGAATAGATTGGCCGTCTCTGAAAACCTTTGTGCTCACCGGCAATGTTCCGGTTACGCAGCCGTACGAGGCGCCAGCGCACGTACAACTTTTCGACGTACTTGCACGTATGGATGCATTACGGGATCTGCGCCTACTCTTCGCGCAAAGCAAAGCGCAGGAGTTCTATGTTCTTGGGCACGATGATCCTCCTGATCCTGCGCACACAGCAAAGCTCGCAACTCTTACTGATTTCGCCATATCAAACGCTTGCAAGCTTGGTGGAATTCTCAATTACATGTCATCTCTCCGGCGACTTGCCATTCTCGCTATCGTGGATCTTCCTCGTTGGCCTATTGCGCTTGGCCAAGCAGAAGTTGACCGTGTGCTCGCAGATGTTGCCGCGAGCGGCTGTGAGCTGAATCACTTGCGCATTATCATCGAGGACAAGCTCACGCCCAACGTGTGTTGGTCCATCACCTCCAACTGCCCTCACCTTCAGACGCTAGAGATCGAGCGATGTGGTTACCACGATGGTAAATCTGTATCAAGCTGGGTACGTATCTTCCCTAAGGCTTGATCAAAGATCTATGCTAAACGTGGGCTGATCTTGGCATGTGTCATCACCGTAGCAAGAGTTCCTCGAAGCACTGTCCCCTCTATCTGCCCTTCGAGATCTGCGCATCTGCATGCAATTCCCAGAGTACGATGATGTCGATGAATTTGAGTCATGGCGCATAGTACGCAAAGACTGTGCCAAGGCCCTCGCGATGGGCCTCAAGCTGCTCGGCAAAGTCGGGTTTGAGTATAGGAAACGCGCAGGGACCCACCGTTACCAGGACGCGTGGCTAGACTTCGAAATTAGTCGGAGAAGAGGAGGGGCTATCGAGCTGTGCCAGCTGCCAGCTATGTGGTACCCGTTTCCCGAGGTGTGGGAATCATCGCGGTCGCCGTTTTGATTGAGGATGTGTTTTTTGGCGCAACGGAGGGTACTGCTTTCTTGCAAGTATACATGTGTTTTCTTTCTCATGGGCAATGTAATCTTACACGAAACGTCTCGATGAGACTGAGCTTGTCCTGGCTAGGTTGTCTTGCGGCATATATGGTTTCTCACATTGGCATCGGTATCCACACACATAGTGTACATAGATATATTTGTATACACGTCTCTAGACTTGTTGTCGAGAGAGATAGTTGTTACTGCGTAGTGATGGATCTATCTTCAATACTCCATGCTAGAGATACCTGAATTCAGTGGTAGCCGTACCTCGGGTTATATTGATTAAGGTCCAGTTATCAATCGGGTGGAATGGCAGGCCAATGTAACTGAAAGCCTAGCTCCCCCGACGCGCGCCAATTTCATTGACATAGTCTGAGTACCTGCTGGTCTATAAGTAGTGTCACCTAGGAACCCGCATCAGCGTGACGAAAGCCCTACACCGTTCTTATGCTTTACGAAATGTCTTGAAATTGCCCTGAAAAATATCATTAGCTAGTTCTAGATTAGGAAAGCACCAAAACGAACTGTGGCGTTCGCATTCTAGTCAGCCGCAGTACTGCGTAAGTTTGGCACAAGTACTCGGAACCTTGCTCATGAGGAGCCCGAGTCCGCGGTTTAAGTGTATTATGCCGATGTCCACGGCTGGTTGTCTTATGATGGAACGTTCTGTGAACCTAGATATCAGATAAAGGGAAAAATCCTCATCGAGTGGATCTGCGTAGCCTGGGTACACAGCAAGTTTCACCCGGTGGAAATGAAATCAGATACCAGGATAGGGTGGCTTAAATGACAAAGTACACGTTGTATGAGTGCCCCGAAATGCGACAGCTACTACGACAACTAACCAACATGCCATACCACTGATTCCCTGGAATGCTCATCAAGTCCCACCCCGTACACCCATAGCGTTATCATCGCTTACTGGTTCAAAAGCCAGACAAATGTCAACCATAGAACGCGCCAAAGATCACACCCCAGATCCATTGGCTGCCCTGCATGAAGCTTTTAATGATGTTTGTGTTACTTCATACCATCATCATCATCCTGGCGGCACCTGCAGGATCTAATACGGCACGACGGCTATCTATTGCCGGGTCCTCTGTCACCATGTAAGTATGTCATCCCGCATCCATCGCGTATTCATAGATTAATAGGAATTTGCTGTCCAGGACGCAGGGGAATTACCCAGATTCTTCTTCTATAGGAAGTAGTCGTGACTTTATGACTTTTGCCTCGGATACGCTGGAGTCTGGAAGTACGGCTTCTGCACCTGCCGAAGCCGCAGGATCGGTGACCAGCAGTGAGTCTGCCCTGCTCAAATTGTTGCGCAAGCTTCATGTTCGGTGTCCAGTAATGCCTGCGCCGCCGACCGTGACCAAGCCTCCCTTGCTCACTGTACCTAGTACAGCAAACAATGACTCAGGAATATCCAATACTTGTACGCTCAGAAGGTTCAACATCGACGAAACCTCTTTGAAAGTATGCATGGTCGGGGTAATCCTAGCAGCATCTTTTGCAGGCATAGGACTTATCATTGTCAGCCTGCTTACCTGTTCTGTGGGCAGATGTATAAAAGTAAGTTGTCAGAATTACGGTAATAGAGGGTTGTGCTGACGTGAGAATATGATAAATTCACAGCAGTACCGCACACAATGCTTGCGCGTTGGGAACTGTGACTACTTGCACTCCTGTTGCATGCAAACATTGTGCGGCCATCGAGTTAAGGCGTAGCTTTGCTACGCCTCTCTGCATGCGTGATGCTGGCAAATTGGCACGTCCTGGTGAAACGCAACACCACAGTGTGGAATTCTAGTTAAAATGAACGTCATAGCGTTATGCACTACATCGGTAAATTAATTTCATGGTTTCGGGATTACTATAACTTTGTGTCGTACACACCTGTATCATAATATGCAGCGAGTGACTCCATTTTGCCAGTTGAATCATAACTGGAGCTGCTTGAAGTTAGCCACGATGAAACACAATGATACGTCAGAATTACCACAAGTGCATAGGTGACTATGCACTTAGTCACTGGGCTGAGGAGCCAGGATGACGCATTGATTTGTGAAGGTAAATTAATCACTGCAAGCGTTGCCAGCTGTGGCTTGTTGACATGTTGATACCGCACCGTGTCGTCTCCGAATCCTGTGCAATGATACCACCAGCATGTGAGGAAATCCCATATAGAACAGTAAAATGCCCGCACTGCTGCCCAGAACTACTTGGAACCCAAAGTATGGTGATACTAACGGCCGCCTGCAACGTTGAAAGTATCACCATCCAATTTATGCGGCCGAGGTGCCCGAAATCAAGTATTCTGAATAGAATAATGGTGCAGTAGGACTACACAACGTTGCGCACAGGTCGAACTAGAACTATTCTAGTTCTAGCTCCTCGAGGCGTTGCAATCATGGTAATTGCGTTGACGGAAACACATATTGTGCACTGGATCCTGTGATGAGCTCAGACCATCACTCGACTGAGAGAGATTCGGATGAAGAGACGACGATGATCGGAGCGAAGGGTTGAATTGACTCAGCACGTATATGCCCGTTAAGGGTGGGACTTGTAATTACCATCACTACGTGACTAGCTAGGACCCCCTTTTTCCTTTGTTCTTACTTCTCAGTGGACCTTGTGGTCTACATCCATGTCTTCAGAATATCCCTCTCACCTTCATGTCTCTTTCGCGCCAAATGCAACATCGTTCAAGCGGACGTTTGAACAGTTTGGCTACGATTCGGGCTCTCCAATGACCAGCGCTCTCCAAGCCAGCGGGAGTGGCACAACAAACCATAATGTTCCGACAGGCTCCAGTGGCGGCAATGAAAGAAACAAGAGGGCAAGGAGTACGAGCAGCTCCTCTGCCAGCAATCATTCTGCAGACTCCTCCAGGTCCTCCGAATACAATTCCGCGCGATCGAGCGCCTCGCTGAGCGAGGGCTCTACTACCAACGACCATAACCTTTCTCTTGACCAGAACAGGAGATCATCAGCTTATCCATCTCCTGCCGTTGCTTCTACTCCAGGTACTTTAGTCTCAACGCCTGTGCTACCGAGCACCGTGACCGAACCTCAGGATGAGGACATGTCAGATAGCTCTGTTTTTTCCTTGGACATCCCACGTCCCGCACCTCCGCCAGAAGTAGTACCATCTACTGCACATGACGCTCTTAGAAGCTCCTTAGAACGATTCAGCGAATTTGATAGTCACATTGCAGTCCTCCGGCGTTCACACTCACGTACTCCGTCTTGGCACCCTACCGCATCTCCCGCTCTGTCCCCACGCGAATCTTCAAATGATGCCACCGAAGCATTTGACAGTTGGGACTGGACTCATTTTGGAGCTTCACCAGGCTCATCACACACATCTGGGGAGGATCGCCGTGGTCAATATTTCACCGATACAACTACTTCCATTGGGTCTGGGAGTACACACACTGCGGCTCCCAGACAGGCTGACTCGTTATCTTTCCAAGCATCAGATGGTAGTTGTCTCTTTGATCTGTTACATACACACTAGCACTGATTACATACACCCGCTGACAGGCTTATCATGTCCTGGCTATACTACCTCATCAAGTAATACCTCCAATTCTACTCCTTCACACCGCCCATCTCCGTCAATCTCTTCATCAACGAGGACGAACGCATCTATCCGAGGATCCGACGAATTTCTCAACGGATCCCTTGCCGCCGTACCGTCAGTCCTGCAAAATGAAAGAAACAACACTGATGCCTTAAATGGACCCGACGGCAGGCAAGCTGTCCATCGTGGGTCAAGTTATGGGTCATCAAATTTGTCATGGGCTGCTCTTGCCTCCTCCCGTCCTTCACCGGCCGCTGCATCATCGTCCGATGTAGTCGGCAGGCAAGGTGTCCATCGTGTATCAAGCTCTGGCTCATCCAATCTGACATGGGCTACTCTTGCCCCCCCACGTTCTTCATCACCAGTTAGGCCGTCGCCAGACGTAGTCACACGTCCAGGATTACTTGACAGCATATTTGAGCCACCAATTTCAGAGCTGGCTGCTAGGCCGCAGGCCGCAAGACGTACTACCCATTCAGATGCCAGCTGGAGATCTACGAGCTCTGCGCACACGTCAGCAGGCACTTCTACGTCATCCTCTGGTCGGTGCTCTGTCCCACACAGATGATGATTACGTTGACTAAAAGCTACAATCTGTTCCAGTGCTTGGAGACTCCACTTCTCACATCTATGGTGCTGAAGAGGAGAGACAACGGGATACGTCAAATACAATCCAGCACCACAACTCATCACCTTCTCGCTCGACTGACGGATACCAAGAGGTTGCTGCGCGTGCTAGACCAGTTATCGAACCCTCGCGTGGCTCAGGTATGGCTTTCATGCCTATTCATTCCTGGTGTTTACAAATATTGCCAGTTCGCCCACTCTCGGAGGTTCTCTCTTCGTTTTCCAGAGAACAGGCAGTTGAAGATTCCGACGAAGCAGAGTTGTCATTTGACCGTTACTTAGCTGATCTTGGCGGAGAGGACCCCATCGATCACGAGCGACGGCGCAGGGTGACGGTCCACAACCGTTACGATATTGCCGCCGAAAATGATGAAGACGACGACGACGCTTCTCATCCGGATAGTGTCCATGAGATCATTCAAGGTCTTCATAATGCCCGCGGGTTACTCGAGCGTGGTGTAGAAACTGGTAAGGTGCAACGCATTTATCTAAACCAAATTCACTAATCTTCTCAATCAGCTCGTTCATTGTCTGGGTCGCCTTCCCGACACGAGCTGCCAAATCCTCCGGTTCGCTACCGCTTTCATTCCCGTCTGTATACGTCTGCCACAACAATGTCCAGCAACTCGTTGGTGTCAGAAAGTGCTGCGGAGCATCGACGTACCAACGCCAGGGCGCATCTTCGCACCCAATTGTCTGATTCACGTCACAACTCTGACGAGGCTCCTCGAGACAGTGCAGACATATCAACTGCTGCTGCTCGTTTGAGGCGTCTTATAGCTGGTGAAGCGGACTCCTCGAACACATCTTCTTTGTCGTCTGCTCGAACGAGCGATCTTCCTTCAAGATCGTTCCTATCAAATGGTTCTGGGTCACCTTCTCAGTTTCCTCGCAGAGGCTTGAACGAATGGGAGAGAGTCCGATTTTCAGAAATTTTATCTGAACATAGACATCCCCAGACAAGAAGTGCGAATAACAGATCTATGTCAAGAGACCGCAATCACCTCTCTCCTGAAGACTCGCCCGATAGCATCTTTGACCCTGTGTTCACCACGATCAACGCTATGCCGGGTTCAACAAACTCAGTGGAGGAAGACGCGCAGCCACCGTATGTTTATCGTCCACCCACGCCACCTCTTCACACCTTGCGTGCTGCTCGCTCACGCTCTCCACCGCACATATCATTGGAACGACCACGCGCGTCTAACGCTGACACATCTGCGAGATCGCATCCTTTCAGCAACGTTAACTTGGATATGTTCCCGCCTGGAATATACCGCGATTCTTTGCGGCGGTCGATACAAGCGAATCAAGGACGCGATGAACTCCGTGTGTTAGAATTAGAGCCTACACCTGCCCCTCATGGACTTTCCACTACGTTTTCATTCGGGAACTCGGATGAAGATAACGATAGCGATGACATAGATTCTTACATTGGTATCTTGGTGTGTCCTCTAATTAATCACGTGACACATTTAGCACTGACATATTTGTGCAGCCGAGGCGTGGAAGGGAACGTACAGCAGCCTCGAGGTCAGTGTTAAGTATAACCCCCATCGAACCATTTCCTGAATGTTCCTTATTACTTTAGTGCACGGTTTACATCGAGGCATATGATGCCAGAGCCTGCTGCTTCAGCAAGTTCCCTGGCTTTTGGCGGCGACTCTCACAACACATCCACGCAGGGCAATGGCGCCTTCACTGCTGTACGGGGACGTATCCCTCCATTGAGAGGACAGTCGAGCGACGAACATCTTGCGAGGCATCGATTGAATGAAGCAGAGAGGGGTGTTCAAAGTTTGCCTCTTGATCCATTCTGGTCTAGCAGTAGGCGTGACGCCCCTGCACACAACCCTGTCCCTCGCTCTTCATGGGATTCGTCGATACAACAACCTCAGGATCGTGAATATGAAAGAATGAGAACAATGCGCGACATGATGGAGCGATATGGTCCCAATAACGAACGATCTGACTTAGCATCCAGGCGCAATATTTCTCAGCCTCACCAGGTGCCCTCCGGGAGACCTGGGAATGCTAATCGCCTCACATTGCTTCCATGGCGGTCTCCACTGCTTCAGGGTTCATCCACTCCTACAAGCTCCGGATCATCATTCACTTCCAGTAGTCCTGCTACTATCACCCACAATCCATACCGAAACATTCCAGACCGGCCTCGAGAACGGCAAGAAGCGGCGCCGCCCGAAGAACGGACGCCCATTCGCACCTTGAGGCAGCGGGCTGGTCTTACACGCGGAATACCACGAGCAGAGGGTACTCGCATTAGATCGATGTTCCGGACGATGACAAGAAGAAATATGGGTGATTATATGGTGTGTGCTGTGCTGTGCTCACTGGAATGTTCCTCATGTTTTTCTTTTCGGACAAAGCCGGATGAGCTATTTGACTCGTCGTATGAGGGATTGTTGTCGCTAGGCGAAACGCTTGGGGAAGTCAGGTCGAGAGCCACGCCTGCTGATGTCATTGCCTCGCTTCCAACGGGAACCTATCAAGCATGGGCTAAAGAAGACAGCGAGACACGATGTCCAATATGTTTAGATGATGCACGTATCTGTCAATTCATTTAAGTGACGTATCATACTTACCTCTTTTTTGCAGTATGGGCACGATGATCCTGTCACAAAACTCGTCGAATGTACCCATTGGTTGCATAAGGCTTGTTTAGAGGTACAATTGGCTTCTTCTGTCTTTTTTTTGTCGCTTGCTGACGAGTTACGCTTCCAGCAATGGCTCAAGACAGCGAATACTTGCCCTGTATGTCGCAAAAAGGTCAAGAATTCTCCAAAATGCCCATATAAGGCAAGCATAATGACAAGTACGGGGGCTGGTGGGCCAGGGTCGAGAGAACCTGAAGTGGGAGCAAGCAGCAATCACGGACGGACGTCGAGTTCAGACTCTTCCTCTGGGGTTGTTGGCATGCGTTTAGGTGAATTAATCAATCGCGCTCGCCGAGGGTCCAATGCCCAATCAGGGAGTGGTACCCAGCAACAGTCATTATCCCGTGTCCAAACAATTGTTGGTACCCCTGCAGAGCCAGTGGCGGCGACAAGGTTGAATGGTAGTGGAACTCATTTCCATCATCATCATCATCACTATCTCCACATCCACCCACCACGTCCAGAGCAATCCCACGGTTCACAGCACTCGGATCCTTATCATCAACCTCCCAGCTCCACTGCCAGTGCGGCCCAGAGCAGTACGGGACCCCGTACCTTCCCATCTGTCCAGAACGTCAGCGGACCTCGTCCTAATGTGTCAAGTCGCCCAGCACTTTCGCGTCCGACTTCCTGGTTTGGGTTGACAAATCGAGCCACTCGTCGAGTGCCTGAGATAACGCAGGATAGCGGCCCACATTTCCCATCTTCTCCAATGGATGTCGATTATGAAATTGGAAGAACTGGTTTCATCAGTGCGACTTCCGGCTTCCATGATCCTGTGCCGGCTCCACGGAGTACCTTCGGAGCGCCTCCATCATCTAGTGTCATGTCTAGCGCAGTTTTTCCTCAAACAGCAGGCTCGCTGTCATCGTCATCGTCATCCTCGTCGTCATCATCTACATCTACCACATCTAACATACTGGACACATACTCCCTGGCGACAGGTGAATTACAATCTTTCCATGGTACAACGCGGACCAACACGGGATCATTAGGGAATCAACCCAACAATGCAGCTGCACAGCACTATGGATCTTTCAACATGGATAGCGGACTAGATTCAAGAAGCAGTTCGACTCGCAGTGGTTACGCGAGGCCGGGAGGACCCGGGATGTCTGGTCCTCCTCCATGGTGGCGGTGAGCTGCGTCGTCGTATATTCCCGGTATCTTCAATGGTCTCCTACATATAATATCTATTTTTTGTTCGGGTTATAGCATTGCATCACGACTTATATGCTTTTGCACTGTACACAAGGAATCATGGATGACATTCTCGCTTCTCCGCTGCACGTACCTGTAAATCAACCAAATCCAATCAAGTATATCTAGTTTTTAGTCTTTAGGTGTTGATGAATTTAGAGACGTAGCTCATCCTTGCGCAATCTCTGATATCATGTTTCTGATTACTTTTGTGAGCTCGAGCTTGATGGTGTTCCCAATTGGTCGAGGCACAGGGCTCGTGTTGAAGTTGGTCTACGCGCGAAGTTTCTTGCCTTCGCCCACCTCGCAGCCAGATTCTCTTATCCTAAGCACTAAGCACTAGTCTCATCAGTCTTTGCAGCCATCCGCCACTCCCATATCATCGCGCGGACAAGGGCTTGAGTTGTAAGATCCTAGATACCTCATCAGTATACAACAGCGGCTAACATATCATGTGTCCGACGCACCAGTGACTGCTTCGCTATCATAGACGATGAGCTGATCGAACCCACCCCCACAGCTCATCTTTGACGCACAGGTTCGACCCCTGCACTGGCATCGGGCCGGAAAGCCCTGTGGACACCACTCAACAAACTCGCTCGATCCTGCTAGATACAGGCCGTCAATCCCTCTGTGCCATAGTACTGCCGATTCCCGACAAGCTGACCATTATTACCATTCGCAATCGTGACCATCCCAACTTCGACGCAGCTGGACGTTCGGACATTCGACGTTCATTGCACCAATAATTCAAACACGCTCTGCACAACTAGACTTTTTGGGGCTGAGACCCTAGCTCCTCTTTGAGACGCCAGTCTATGCGTTGCTGTTAGTTTTTCGTGGTACGAAAGAAATCAGATTGATTGCTAGTCAACGGAACCTGATTTACAAATGGTAATGAATGGGGAACGTTTAATGAGATTTAGGCTGGAAACCCGAAACATTGTTTCAATCCTACGCGAAAGATTCCAGGGTGACTCTCGTGAGGGAGGGCGGGATACAGCAGCTCACAGAACAGAAACTTGAATAAAATTCTGTGGTCGAAAATGATGCGTCGAGTATATTTTCTATTGGTGAAATTTGAGTCGGAGTCTTACGAAATAATCAGAGCGAGACGCATGTTGCTGCTAAGAGGGAGTGGCGGGTGCGTGCGATGAAATGAGAGTGGAGTCGAGCAGTCTGAGAGAGCTTGTGAGTAGTACGTAGTGGTAGGAAGCAAGAAAGGCAGTGAAAGTACAAGAAAGCTGTGTCGAATGGGTTGTTCTCGAATCTCGTGCCTTCGAACTTACGTCACGGTAACTTGAACATATGCAGTGGACTTCAGGATCTCTAGGCCCTCGACGGAACGCACTTTCTCACTGGCACCATGGCCATCAGTAAACCGATGAGACTGTTGGTCGATATTGTCAGATTTTGTGAGCCCAATGCTTCTTACTCCTGCGTTCGCTGTTGTATAATTCACTGAACTATGAGCCATACAGTGGCGGCCGACTAGTACTAAGGTCTGTGTTGCACCGCTATCAAGAAGTAGTCTGAAGGCGCAGCTATCTTCCATCTAATAGTCTGACTACGGAAGACATTTTTTTTACGCAGCACGATGGATTCTCGCCGTCTTAGGCCAGCTGGGTGCCACCGGACTCGTTTGTGTTTTTTCAAAACGCGATTCGAGATCTCACAGATGCTGTAACCTGTTGCGTGATTGCCAGCAAATCACTGGCACTGGCCATGGTGAATCGTCGGTGATGTCGCTCAGAATGCTGCGCACCTCTATGGGTGACCGCACTGTCTGCCTCCGGATGAATGTCCACCCACTACACCTTCTCGAGGTTCTCATCTAAGCAATATTCCGTACTGTCATGTGGACAATATTCGCCCTCTGAAGAACTTCTCGAAATTTTTCCAAAGGAGGTTTTCCTTGATCTCGAAGATGATGGGACACAGGAAAAAGAACACGACACAATAAGAAGCCAATGGACCTTCGGGTACAACTGAACAGCCTCAGGTTTCCTGTGCGCATTGAAATGAGCGGGTTGACCCATAAAATACACGCACCTCTGGAGCTTAGAGAAAGACACAATTCCTTTAAAGTCCACCTCTACCGCGCGCAACGCCGTCGACTTTCAGGAAAATGTCGGAGTTCGTTTCAATCACCACACCCCTGCGAGAGTTCAAAGGTCATGAAGAGTGCATAATGGCCGCAGTCGCAGTGCTCCCCGATAAACGACGGATGGTTACGGGCTCGTGCGACAAGACGCTTCGGTTATGGGACTTGAAGACAGGCGTTGTGTTGAAGAAGATGGAGGGGCATCGCAGTGACGTGCAGGTATTGACTGTATCACGAGATGGGCAATTGGTAGCAAGCGGTGATCTGAAGGGAGGGGTCATCGTCTGGCATGGAGAAACTGGCGAATTACTCACCGAGCTCATCAAAGCCCACTCCAGTTGGATCTACTCGCTGGATTTTTCTCCTGATGGAACAGTGCTGGCTACTGGTTCATGTGACGGGATGATGAAACTCTGGAACACCGAAACCTGGGAGCTACAAGGAGATCCTATCAAGTGTGGTTCTGTCAATTGCGTGCGGTATTCGCCATCCGGAGAACTTCTTGCCATCGCAACAAAAGACAATATCCAAATTTATAATCAAAGCACGAGGAAGATTATTGCATCTTTCAAGGGTCACACATTCAACAGGTCACTTGCATGGACGCCCAATGGACGCCTTATCACAGGTGGCGGTAGTTCTGATCCTACCATACGCGAATGGGATACAACAACCTGGAAGCAGGTCGGCGATTCCTGGATAGGAGGTCACTCTAGCCAAATCAATGTCATTGCCATTAATCCTGCTGGCACACTCGTCGCCTCTGCATCTGATGACAACCACATCTGTCTCTGGCAGATCTCAGATGGACGAATTATTGCAACCTTCAAGCACTCATCTACGCCGTTATGTGTCATTTTCTCCATGAACGGCAAGCGCATCCTCAGTGGAGGTGAAGATAAGATCTCAGAGTGGGCGGTACCTTATGATTTTCATCCGAAGGTAGGTTTCCATTGTTGACTCATAGTATAATTCGAGCATGCTCTATCTAGATTCTCGCCATCACTACAGCCCGCGATGCATGCCTAGATGGTGACTTATCTACCGCTGAAGACCGACTCACGCAAGATATTAATACCGATGCCAACAACCATACTTCTTATGCTCATCGCTCATTCGTGATGGCTCGACGACACAACTGGGACCACGCCCTTCAAGATGCAATAAAGGTGATTCATATGCCCCGATCGTGGCCCACTTGTAAAAGGCTAACTCGACGATGACATAGTCCATCATCATTCAGCCCTCATTGATAGGCTACATCTCCAAGGGTATTGCGCTCTGCGGAAAAGGCCAGGTCCTAGATGCGAGGGCGGCATTTGATGTTGCATCAATGTACACGGACCAAGATCCACAAATCCTCCATTTCCTGATCTTGATCAAAGTATGTTACATTTGGCTTCCGTACTCTCATACTTCATCGCATATTTCAGGCCATCGCCCTCTTCAATGCGGACCAACATGATGAGGCAAACCTGCTTCTTAAAGAACTTGTTACCGGTTGTCCGAATGGTGATACTCTCGCGTGTTGTGTCGTGGAAGTAAGTGCCATCCGCACATGGTCATCAACACTAATCTTTGCAACTCGCTCATCAGGCATATATTCATATTCAACTCGGAATCAAGGCTTTGGATGGCGCACGCTACGAAGAAGCTGCTGAACATTTTACAGCCGTTCTCAACTCCAGCGCCTTCTCGTGGAGTTTACCCATACATGTTTTGTACGAGGATCTGGTGGTGGTGCGTGAATACACATACGAAATCTTTTTCATAACTTAGCCCCTTGTCCAGCTCTTTGGCTGGGATCTCGAATCACTGTGGCTCACCGCACACCAGCAACGTTGTCATGCACTCCTTCAGGCAGATAAACTTTCAGATGCTGTGAAATCATACCGATATATGATGGACAATATTGACGAAGCAACGAAGGCAATCTGTCTTGAATGGTCCCACGGCAAGTGTGGAGTTCGAAATGTCGCGCAAGCTACAAACCTCACTATTTCACTTAGCTTTCACAGAAATATGCAGCGGGCTCTTTCTTGCCGGCGGGGATACTGCCCTCGCTGAAAAAGAATTTGACACTGCTATTGACTTGTACTCGGCTGCAATCGACCTAACTTCTCCATCCGATGATGTCTTTGCAAATCGTGGTAGGGCCAAGTTAGGCAAAGGGCTATGGGAGGATGCGCTTCTCGACGCGCGAAAGGTGCGATTGTATCCATGTTTTTATGGCCCATGTTGACTCCGGCGATGCATAGGCCACTGAACTCAATCCTTCGTCCCATGTGGGATACCAGTTGACACATGTGGCGCTGCGTGGCGCACAACGTTACGACGAAGCCATCAATGCCTTCAAAATCATGTTGTCTAAATTGGATGATTCTTCTGCCAATGCACAGATATGTTGTAAGCCATGGAACACTCCCGCATAATCTCTAAATGACTGACTATCTCACCCTGCAGATCTGCGTCAGCAGTATGTGTGTCCATCTGAAGCAGAAGACGCTATTCAAAAAGCTATTTTGATCGAACTCGAATATGCCCCACTACGTCTACTTAACACCTCCACGGGTCTTTTGTGCGATCGAGCGGCACAAATAAACGCCTTCAAAATGAGTGCAGAGTACAAACAACTTTTGTCATTCACAACAAAACACTCAGACCTCCAAATAGACGATATCAACCAAGTAGTAGCAAAATACTTCCGTTGTGTCATGCTATCACACAGGTGGGAAGAGAAGGAGGTGCTGCTGCAAGACATCCAGGATAAAGATGTGCGCGAGTTGAAGGGACTCGGCGGTATCGCAAAACTGCAGTCATTCTGCAAAGTCGTTCGCGATGCTGGGTATCATTGGGCATGGATGGACACATGCTGCGTTGACAAGAAGAGCAATAGCGAGCTTCAAGAATCGGTCAACTCCATGTTCGTCTGGTACCGCCATTCAGCGCTTACCATCGTCTACCTATGCGATGTCCTTCCCTCATCCCAACCCGGTGCACTTGCCAGGAGTGTTTGGAACACGCGAGGATGGACCTTTCAAGAATTTCTCGCTCCGAAAGTTGTTATCTTCTATCGGAAGGATTGGTCATTATATCTCGACGATCGCTCTCACAATCACAAAGAGTCCCCTGCAATCATGAAGGAGTTGGAGGATGCGACGGGCATAGATGCGCGGGCCCTGGTGACCTTCAGTCCAGGTATGAGCGATGCCCGAGAGAAGCTGCAATGGGCATCGAAGCGCGTGACTACTGTGCAAGAAGACGTTGCGTACTCATTATTTGGCATCTTCGGCATCACCCTACCTGTCATTTATGGCGAGAAGAAGCAGAACGCGCTCGGACGGCTTCTACAGGAAATTGTGGCTCGGTCAGGCGACATCACTGTCCTCGACTGGATCGGAGAACCTTCCGAGTTTAATAGCTGTCTTCCAGCCCATATCACCTCTTACACCACCCATCCACACACCCATTCACCTTTGTCCGAAAATCATATTCACAGACAAGTCTTTTCGCTGCGACAAACTGTGCCTGCAGATGTTGCATTGAAATTTTATGGCCAACTTGAACAGCTTCGAGCTCCTCGCTTTGCAAACTGCAGACTTCACCTGCCTTGCATTTCATTCCGTGTCACGGAAGTCAGACGGAAGCACGGTCTAGCCCAGGAAACTTCCATGACGTATGGAATCAAGGCAGACGGGCTTCACGACCTGCTGATCACCACTGAAGAGACCCTAATTCAGTTCTCGCAGGCAAGGCCCATTCGGCAAACGTTCTTACTTGTCCGTCCATGGGATCGGCATCTCCTCGAGGTACCCGACTATGCAGAGCAGCCTGACTTCGCAGACGATACAGAGAGCATAGGAAATTGGACCGAGCCAGGGTCCTTGGTGAGCAACTCTGAGCAGTTACCTGGCGGCGGTTTACCTGTTGAAGAGGAGTCTGGCTCACGAGCGTTGCGATTGATGGTTCTCCTCGGACAGCCTTTCGACGCACTTTTATTAGCGCAGCAGCATGTCGGAGAATACAAGAGGATCGCGTCGGACTATAGCATCATTGCACGAGTCAAAGACATTGCATCGGTTGATAAGATGGATATCGATACCGTTGAAATACTCTAGAATGATAACTACTAGCATTAGATGCCATTGCTTCGCTGCGTGTTCATAGTTCTCTCTACAGTTCTTTCCTTTCTACTATTGGTACTTCTGCTGGATTCCATAATCTTTCCAAGGTACAACACGGACCAATGTGGGCTCATTGTGGCGCTAACCTCATGGAACCGCACATCCCAACAATGCAGCTGCACAACACTTTGAATCTTTCAGCATGGATGGTAAATAGTAGGATTCAATAAGCAGTTCGACTCGCAGTGGCTATACAAAGCCGGAGACGGTATCAAAATGATCGGTTGTAAAGATAGCAGTATCACAAGTTCGTCAGGCGTAAAAGTAAAATATGAGCAATATCACAAAGTGGGAGGATCTGTCTAACACATGCAATACTTCCTTTTCTTCTTCCCTGTACTGCTGTTACTTTGTTTCAACACGCAGGCTCTTATCTTTGAACTCTTGTCATCAACCTCTTTCTCCCCGGAATCTCTCCTCGAAATCATTACCCTCTACATGAATCTATTATAAAGATTTTGGATGATATTTTATTGTGGCCGCACCTGGTATCTCGTGAATGGTGGTTGGAGGTGGGTCAATTTGGAAAGAAGGCGAGGTGGTCTTGGCAGTCTTGTTCTTCCCCTTGCCTTTATTCTCAGCAGGGGATTTAGCATCTTGTTTGCGAGTTTCGGCAGTAACTGGAGGTGCAGGCTAGACGACAGCTGGATTTAGATGAAATTTCAAGGCAGTCGCACCTGGTATCTCGTGCACAGTGGTTGCAGGTGGGTCAATCTGGAAAGGTGAGGTGGTATTCGGGGTCTTGTTCTTCCCCTTGCCTTTTTCTTTAGCAGGGGGTTCAGTGTCCCGTCTGGTTTCAACAGTGACTGGGGATGTAGGCTGGATGACAGCTGGAGGGGTAGGCAGGGAAGAAGCTGTATGAACATGTTGAGAAACAGCTGAGACAAATTGAGATGGCATTTTAATGTGGTCGCACCTGGCCTCTCGTGCTTGGTCCGAGGTGAGTCAATTCGTGAAGGAGGTGCAGATTGGACAGCAGCCAGAGGAGGCTGGGAAGTGGCTAGGAGTGTTTGCTGGGAAGAATCTGTATGGACATGGTGAGAAACAGCCGAGACAGAATTTAGATGATATGTTAATGCGGTCGTACCTGGTATCTCGTGCACAGAACTTTGAAGTGGGTCAATCCGGGAATGGAGGGGCAGGGAAGCGGCAAGGAATGTTTGCTGGGAAGAAGCTGTATGGACATGGTGAGAGACAGTCGAGGCAGATGTCAGATCATATTTCAATGTGGTCGTGTTTGGGATCTCGTGCACGGTGCTTTGAGGTGGGTCAATTGGGGAAGGAGGTGAGGAGGTTTGATTCTTCCCCTTGCCTTTATCTTTAGCAGGTATCTCGTGCATGGAATTTGTTTGCTGGGAAGAAGCTGTATGGACATGGTGAGAGACATTCGAGGCAGATTTTAGATCATATTTCAATATGGTCGTGTTTGGTATCTCGTGCACGGAGTGTTGAGGTGGGTCAATCAGGGAAGGAGGTGAGGGGGTTTTATTCCTCCCCTTGCCTTTGTCTTCAGCAGGGGGTTCAGCATTCCGTCCGCGAGTTTCACCAGTGACTGGGGGTGCAGGCTGGAGGGCAGCTGAAGGAGGCTGAGAAGCGGCTATAAGTGTTGTCTGGGAAGAAGCTGTATGGTCATATTGAGAAACAGCTGAGACAGAGACTGTCGACATCCTTCCACCTCGCTCAACAGTGCTCCCAACTACTGTGGAGACATTGGAGGCGGTAGACACTGTCCGTTGTCGCTTGAACTCCTGGGTGCTTTGTTCAGCTGTGAGTTGAGATATTGATGTCGTGTTGCTCCCCACCCCACGTTCAGTAGCCGTTAGGGTCGGAGACGAGGGGGTCGACACCTCAGAAGCGGATAATTGAGCTGAGATTACACTCGTCCGGCTACGGTCTTGGTTTTCTATTGATGTGGCCTCCACTCGTGGGGCTCCCAGAGGAGTCTTGATACCCGAAGCGAGTGACTCGTGAGGGACAGCGACGGAATGAGAGGGCGATGGTGAAAGAGATTCAGAATGCGGTCGGGCGTAGTCATCTTCTGAGATGTCTAGTTCGTCTTCGTCAGCATGGTAGCCGCTCTCGCTATACACGATAGACGCAGGTCCACTATATACAAAGTTAGAAATGTCACTGGTTCTATAAGAATGTCACAAACTATTTGATTGTCCCCTAATATTTTTACAATCGACTCAGACATAGGAAATAGTACACGGAAATCACTCACGTTGTCATTCCACTTTATCCGCGCTTTGAACTCGGTGAGACCAAAGTGAATCTCAACGCTGAACACGATCGTCCAATATGTCCTGCCGTTCTTGCTTCGTTTAGGCTCTGCACTTCTACTGAGGAGCGACAGGTCAGCACGGACTACGCATAATATCGAATAGTCCTCTGTCAATGGAAGAATGGAAGGCCACAGATCAGCACGGCACTCGGACTCGTGTTCAGGCAACCTACCTTCATGGCGTAAAATCCACTGTGGAATCGCGTCACCACTGTAGCACCATATCTCTACTTCGAACACAGGGGGGGCAGACAGATTGGTAACTTCCGTGCAATACTTCCGCGAGAACACCGTGGATTCTTTAACCTTCACACACTATGTGTACATTCGTTAAGTCAGTCCATGTTCCAATGAAATCACTGAATACATACTCGAGCAAGGATACAGTCGAACCCATCGGGAAGAAGCCGAGAACCAGAAGGAAGCTCGCAAAGTCGACCTTTCCGAGACTGGTGCTCCAGATCGTTGGGATTGTACTCACGCAAGTACTCCACCCCATACGTAAATTTCGACATCCGGGCCGAAACATGGTGATCGCAGTAGAAGCTAAGTGCACCATCGGCCACAGCTTTTGAACTAAACCATACGATATAAGAGAGATGAAATACTGGAATGATCATATAGCCTCTCACGTCTGGTTGTCAGGTCTGCTCACACTAATATTCATTGGAGCAAGACGTTCCTGTAATTGACTAAAGAGCCACGGGCTGGCCGCGAATCCTCCCACCAACCAGACGGACTATGAAAAGGTAATCATTAAGGCATCATGTTGGACGGTGATGAGTAACACACTTTGATCATCCCTTGCGACGCGTCAACCTGGGCTTTGATCGCCGCGATCGCCGCCTGGACAGAAGGTTCGAAAAATTCTGCCACCTGCGCGCTATCGAGCGTTATTTATGGAAGCATGAAGGATGTTTGTTCTCCTACTCACCCATCAATTGTCAATTGACCTCTGTGAATACCGACTGAGAGATCTTTGTCAAATGGAGAGCCAAATGGAACGAATTGTAAATCTGTTTTGTCTCGGAATAGCCGCTTAGTGGTCTCATCGAAGCATTTCGTGATGTGATCAATTGAATCAGAAGTGCCGTACTTTCGAAGTCTTGAGCTTCTCTGCCTGCAGGATCAGATGATGTATTGTGTATAATGCAATCAAAGATAATCACCCTCTAGGAATTCTCTTGCCCTATGGCTGACAAAGACAGATCCAGCAAATATACCTTCGGAAGCAAACAATCAGGCACGAAGATAGACAAGAGGATGCGTCGGCGCCTTCTCACAATCAGGAGGAGCAACCTCTTCGATTACCAGGGGATTGGTCCCTCGGACTGCGTAGGAACAAATATCAAGCGTGCCACCGCCCATATCAGCTACAAGGAATCCATGCCTAGACGAATTCTAGGGGACATGTCAGACGAGAAGTCCGTGTGGGATAAGTTTGGAATACACACAGAAAAGGCGTCGGCAGCAAGACAGCTCTGAACACATGCGTGGAGACTAGCTTCTCCTTCCGTGACGAAACGGATTCGCGCTCGGCCTTCATCTGTGTCAGGAATCAGACCCCCATACACGGCAGCGCGTCGCATCCTCGTCTGCTCAGCACCTTGCCAGCCGTTAGGATGGCTCAGCACGAACTCAATGGTGGATTCGACATGATGCCACAAGGTCTGGCCATTAGTATGTGTGTCTATGATAAAACTCTTCGTGCAGCGAAAGAGATAGGCAAGGAAGTCTCCAAAAACATCAACGGACTTTTTATTCTGTGGCAGCGGACTTAGACGCATCCCATTCATTGTCAGTGTCATACTCTTCGGCCGCAGGCGAAGCTTGAAACTGGTATACAAGTAGCAGTGTCAAAGTTTGATCGTATAGGAAGGAAAGTACACATACAGTTCCGTTTTTATCCATTCCCCAGTCTCGGCCTGGATTGTTATGGAAGCATTGTCCGTCTCAGCGCCAGCAGCCATGACTCTGCCATGCTTGTTGTAATACATGACAGAGGGAATCTTGGAATTACTGGCTACATGTTCTTGACCAGGGAAACTGACCAGGGCAATGGCGGACGCGTTTTCTGTCAGAGGGTACGCGCCATTAGAATGAGATGCTCACCAAGTGACACCGTTAATTTTTGGGACTTCGCCCGGTTCGAGTAGGGCATATGATACACCGCTGAAAGTGGTTCCGACATCAAAAGCAATGATTAGTGCACGAGAGGAACCACCATAGACCTTTCGTGTGTCTCTCATGCCAGGCGCAGGTAATGTTGAGAAAGTCGGATTGTTGATTGATATCTAACACATTATAGGGTGGGTACGTTCTACATTGATAAGAAGGCTGAGCGCTCAGCGCTGAGGCGTTCCGGCACATTCGCAAGAATTCGCATAGCCTATGAATGTCATGTCCAAGTCATGTCAGCAGTTGTGACGAAAATAACACACCGAGTTTTCAGTCGGAGCATGAACTTCTAGATTCATTGAAATACATATTGTTGTTCGAAACATGTTCTAAACGAATTTCCGAGTCATACTACAGGCGGTTTGGAAACCATTTCTAGATTGCGAGGAGGTGCAAGACGATACTTCAACTTTCAAGGTTCAAATCAAAATCTAAAGTTCTAAATGCTGCGGAAAGTCGTCGCTGTCTAAATTACAGTCTAACAGTACTTGGTGCTCTATTAGAAAAATCCGGCATTTCAGTAAGCTCGCCGGTAAATCTATTGGACAGCTCATTTTGGCTTAGTCCCCTTGATCAAACGCAGAGTTTGGAAATGGCTGGAAGAAAACGCCCCTGGTGGCCTCCGTGACAGAACTGGTGATGAGTTTGAGATGCCAGAAGGGATAATTTCGGCTTCATCCAGTGCACGAGCAGGTCTTGGCAGGAGGTGGGTGAAAACGAAAGGTGATGTTGCAGTAAGCTTGCGTTCGAAGGACTGATGTGGTGAAATGCTGGAGTAGCCGCTCGACAGGGATCACAGCGATATGCATGCGCTCAGCGTGCAGAACAGATAGTCAGATCCGAGTGCTGGACAGCACTGGTATGCACTAAGGCGCTGGGGTGACTGGGAAGGTATGCTGTCGGCGGGTCTGATGAGAGGGTATTCTTGCCGTACTACACGGCATCGGTGGCGTGGGTGGTGAACAGCCTCAGTGACTTGAAGCTCCTGGGTCTATGGAAATGAGACAGGTTGATGCACAATAGGCGCACCTCTGCAGAAAGACACCCACCATCCTCCAAAATCCACTTTGACCGTGCTCGACAATATCAGCCTCCAGTAAAATGTCGGAACTCATCCCAATCACTAAACCCCTGAAAGAATTTGATCATGAAAACTGCATAAGCGCGGTCGCAGTTTTCCCTGATAAACTACGGTTGGTTACGGGCTCATGGGACAAGATGCTTCTGTTATGGGACTTGAAGACAGGTGTTGTGTTGAGGAAGATGGAGGGGCATCGTAGCGGGGTGTTGAGATTGGCAGTATCACGAGATGGGCAATTGATAGCAAGTGGTGATGAAGGAGGAGAGGTCATCGTCTGGCACGGAGAAACTGGCGAATCACTCACCAAAATCGAAGCCCACTCCAGTTGGATCTACTCACTGGATTTTTCTCCGGGTGGAACAGTGCTGGCCACTAGTGCATATCAGGACGGAATGACAAAACTGTGGAACACCAAAACCTGGGAGCAACAAGAAGATCCAATCAAGTGTGTCTCTGTCAATTGCGTACGATACTCGCCCTCTGGAGAACTTCTTGCCATCGCGACAAAAGACAATATCGAAATTTATAATCCAGCTACAAGGGAACACGTTACATCCTTCAAGGGTCATACTGGAAGCAACTTCTCGCTCGCATGGACGTCCGATTGTACACGCCTTCTTACAGGTGGCAGTGGTTCTGATCCTACCATACGCGAATGGGATACAACGACCTGGCGGCAGGTCGGCGATCCTTGGACAGGCCACTCCAAGCAAATCAACGCCATTGCCGTTCATCCTACTTGCACACTCATCGCATCCGCATCCCATGACAATCATGTCCGTCTCTGGCGGCTCTCAGACAGACAAACCGTTGCCACATTCGAACACTCCTCTACGCCGTTATGCGTCACTTTCTCCATGGATGGCAACCACATCCTCAGCGGAGGTAAAGATAAGATGATCTCGGAGTGGGCAATACCTCAGGGTATTGATTCCAAGGCATGCTTCCACAATTGACTCATTCACCACCACCATTCGAGCATGTTTCGTACAGATCCTAGGTATCACGACAGCCCGCGTTGCATGCCTAGATGGGCGCTTGTCTACCGCCGAAGAACTACTTACGCAAGATGTTGATAACGATGCCAACAATCATACTTCCTATGCCCATCGCTCATTCGTGATGGCTCGACGACACAACTGGGACTGCGCCCTCCAGGATGCGATCAAGGCGAGTTATATGCATTGATCATGGCCCATTTACAAAAGGCTAACTCGATGGCGACACAGTCCATCAGCATTCGGCCCTCATTGACAGGCTACATCTCCAAGGGTATTGCGCTCTGCGGAAAAGGCCAGGTCCCAGATGCGAGGGCGGCATTTGATGTTGCATCAATGTACACGGACCAAGATCCACAAATTCTCCATTTCCTGCTCTTGATCAAAGTATGTTACATTTGCCTCACGTACTCTCTACTTCATCACGTATTTCAGGCCATCGCCCTCTTCAATGTGGATCAACACGATGAGGCAAACCTGCTCCTCAAAGAACTCACCACCGGTTGTCCGAATGCCGATACTCTCGCGTGTTGTGTCGTGCAAGTAAGTGTCATCCGCACTTGCTCATCAAGATGAATCTTTTCAACTCGCCCATCAGGCATATTTGCTTCTTCAACTTGGAATCAGCGACTTGGATGACGCACGCTACGAAGAAGCCGCTGAACATTTTACCGCCGTTCTCAACTCTAGCGCCCTCTTGTGGAGTTCGCCCATTCATTTTATGTACGAGGACTTGGTAGTGGTACGTGAATACGTACCCGAAATCCTTTTCATTACTGAGTCTGTTGTCTAGCTCTTCGGCTGGGATCTCAAGTCTTTGCGGCTCACTGCACAGCTGAAACAGTGCCAGGTTTTCCTTTCTGCGGGCAAAATCGACGAGGCACTTGAATCACACAAATCTATGATGGACAACGTTAACAAAACAACGACAAAGGGCAGCTGCGTTGGCTGGTCGACTGGCAAGTCGTCAATGATTGTCATTCAAGGTTAAAATCCTCACCTACATTTCATTCAGCCTTCAAGCAAGAATGCAGCGCCCTCTTTCTTACCAATGGGGATGCTGCCCTCGCGGCAAGCGACTATGACAGGGCGATCAACCTCTACTCGGCAGCGATCGACTTGAACTCTGCATCTGATACCGTCTTTGTAAAGCGCAGCGAGGCAAGGTTGAGAAAAATGCTATGGACGGAAGCACTTGTCGATGCGCAGAAGGTCCGATATCAATCATTGTTTCTTCACCTATGCCCATTGTGGTAATAAACAGGTCATCAAACTCAATCCTTCGTCTTATATCGGATACAAGTTGGAGCATGCAGCGTTTCATGGCGCGCAGCGCTATGATGAAGCTATCGCGGCCTTCAAAACAATGTTCTCAAAATTGAATAATGCTCCTGACCCTAAGACACGAAGTAAGCCTTAGAAAACTTCTGCATCAACATGCTTTGACTGTTTGTCCAGAGTTGCGCCAGCAGTATCTCAATCCACCTGAAGTGGACCCTACTATTCGAAAAGTCATCGACGCTCAACTCGACAATGCTCCGCTACGCGTACTCGACACCACCACCGGTCTCTTATGCGATCGAGAGATGCAGATACGCACCTTCAAAACGAGCATAGAGTACAAGGAGCTTGTATCATCAACAATCACACATGGAGGTAGCCAAATGAAGCACGTTGAAGAAGTGGTGAAGACGTACTTCTCATATGTCATGCTATCGCACAGATGGGAAGGCGAGGAGCCGCTGCTGCAGCATATCCAGGGCAAGGATGTATCCAAGTTGGATCCAGTTGGTGGCATCAAGAAGTTGCAGTCCTTCTGCGACACTGCTCGTTATTTGGGGTATCGCTGGGCATGGAGCGATACATGCTGTATTGACAAGCGCATCGATGCTGAGCTCCAAGCATCAGTCAAGTCTATGTTCACCTGGTATCACCACTCCGCGCTCACAGTCGTCTACCTCTCGGATGTTCCGCCTTTGTCGAAGTCTGGTGCACTGAAAAAGAGCGCTTGGAACACCCGCGGATGGACTGTTCAAGAATGTCTTGCTCCCAAAGTCATTCTCTTCTATCAGAATGATTGGACTCTTTATCTCGACGATCGTACTCCCAATCATAAGGATTCCGTCGCAATCATGCAGGAGTTGGAGGAGGCGACGGGCATAGATCGACGAGTTGTCGTGACCTTCCGCCCCGGGATGAGAAACGCCCGAGAGAAACTTCAGTGGGCGTCGACACGTACTACCACGTTGCCAGAAGACATCGCATACTCGTTATTCGGCATCTTCGGTGTCCGCCTAAATGTTGATTATAGCGAGAAGAAGCAGAGCGCGCTCGGGCGGCTCCTGCAGGAAATTATAGCTCAGTCTGGCGATATCACTGCCCTGGACTGGGTCGGGGATTCATCAGAGTTCAACAGCTGTCTACCAGCTGACATCACCTCATATGAAGCTCCACCATGCAAGCTGTCATCTCTATCCGAACAAGATCTTCAGTCATCGGTCTCCTCGCTGCGAGGTGATGTGGCTCTACAGTCGGCTTCCCAGTTATATCAGAGACTTGACTGCCTGAGCGCTCCCCGTTTCGCCCACCACCGGTTGCATCTGCCTTGCATCGTATTCCCGGTTACACAAGCTAGGCGAAGCCCAGGTCATAACCAGGCACATACGTATGAACTCGAGTCAGACGGGCTTCAAAACCTCAAGGTCACTACAAAAGACAAGTTCACCCTGTTCTCGCCGGCAAGGCCGCCACCCGAGTGGCAGACGATCTTGCTGGTTCGTCCATGGAGTCGCCATCTCCTCGGGCTGCATGACACTGCAGACGATACGCAGAACGTGGACAGTCTATTCGTGCCCGAATCTCCGTTGTACGATTCACCTGGTGCACAAACTGGGCTGAATTATTCGAATTCTGATATGCGAGCATTGCAGTTGATTGTTCGCCTTAGACAGCCATTCAGTGCATTTTTGCTAGCGCGGCAGCGTGACGGAGAATTCAAGAGGATCGCATCCGAACATGATATCATGGCATACCCTAAAGACGTCTCTATTAGCTACTTGATGAACATCCAGACACTAGAGATACTGTAGCTGTATGCATAGATCTATTTCGCTCACACTTGGCCCGGGAGAACGGTCATGCCACTCTAATTGTCAAACGTGGACTTTTGGTGATACACCACCAAATAACACTGTAATATTGGACTAGTAGGACGCATCTCCTTCCCATTTATTCTTCTCTTTTAAATCCCAACATAATTGGTGGACGCGCGTCAGCACCTGGTCTGCATTTGCAGCAGCATGCCAAGAACCTACACGGACATAAGTAGATCCCGTTCGGTGCGTGAGTCTCAATTCGACGACCCTGTCCTCGATAATTCATGCTAGGAGATTGCAAAAGCCAGAACAAAAATTTGGGTACTCTTTCGCATGAGGCGTTCCCGCGGAGGCTAGGAAATTCACACACCGTCGACATGCTCACATGCATAATCGCACAGAGGTTAGCATTACTATCCGGATTGCACAGGATCCTAAAGTATCCTTTGCGTGGGCAGCTCAGCCGAGCTTTGTGTTACAGATGATTTTCTTGCATGCCCAGGTTCAAAGATCATCTCGCTCGACGACATTGCAGCGGCTCTCGGAGAATCGAGAAGGACTGAAAGTTTACGAGCATTTACCAAGTTGCCAGCAACCCTCTCTAGATGAGCTTGGCAGGCTGAGCATATCACGACAGTGAGTTTTATTTCTTTCGCGTTGGCACAGTGATTGATATGAAGTTCGTTGCGGAGTTGATTGGTATGTTCACTACTAGTACTATTTTCCTAATGCCTAGACCAAACTCCTGAATAGGTTACTGTGGCGTTGATTATCAGAAGACCTCAGGTTCAGGCCTCATGTCATTTGACTTGGATACGTTTATCACATAAAAAATACGAGCAAACTGCAGCTGACATCATCGAAGTAGGTGCACATGTCATTGACGATCATTCGGAAGGAAGAAAGGGCTGGTGTCAAGGGCAGTACACCAAAGTAATTACCACGAGTCCAATCCCTTTCTGCCCCCTACTATAGACTCGTGACCAGTCCGGTGAGATCAATAGATGGAATCTTTTGACTGTCTGTTGTGGGCGGGCATGAATTTGGTGCGGCAATTTTTTTGGGAGTCATAAGCTGGTATATGTTTCAGGATATGCATCACGTCTGTTACGATTGTGTCTGAGGTGCTACATATGTACAAAAAGTTCCAAAATGCCTAGAAGATGTATTGTTCAAGGTGTGCCCGTCCAAGCAAGCTGTGACACTTAGGCTGTAGAACAGTGACTAGCTAGGTCCAGTGCTAGAAATATGCAGTTTGTTGCGTATAAGCAAAGCACAATATTGCCGTGCGATTACCGTCGCACCTTTTTCAAATTTTGATCACTAGTGAGTTAGAACCACATCTAATTGCCACGTTGTGCTACACAATACTAGGTGGCTGGGACCAAGACTATAAGCAATATTGATACAACATTATGGATACTCTGCAGAGTGCCGGGAATATATACAATTCACTACGGTATCATAGGTAAATGTGGGGAATCAATAAGTGAGCGACCGATGCAAACGAAAACTGTCCCAAGCGGTTTTGTAGTGGTAATAACAAGAGTAGGGGTTATCATAAAATGGAAGGGAGCTAACTTAGGAAGTACAGTTCGGGACAGCTAGAAAGTTTTCGGAAGAGATATGGATGCAGTCTGCATGCCCGAAGAACCATTCGTACGGGATTGAGTTTGGCGTTTGACTTGTGCTTCCATTTTGATACGTTGCTTTCGAACATCGTCGTCTTTCAGCTTTATCATCAGGACTTGATTGAGGAATGCGTCTGCTGTCGAGGGTAAACATGCGAGAGGTGGATGAACAAGGTATTCCATAGCAGCTTCTTCCGATGTCGCTTGCAAGAGTAGATGTCGCACGCATTGAATAAGCGCAAGCCCAACACGAAACAAAAGAGTAACGCCTAATAAAGTATAAATGCGACGAAAGGAGGAAAAGGATATCGCGTACCTTCATACAAGAAAACGTCCCAAACTCGGTGAAGATAATCAACAGGCAATGTTCCAACAAATAGGGTAGAGAACCTGTGCAAGATCAGAAAACATGAAACCCCCGAGGTGCATATTGATACAAACCAAGACTTCGCTATTGCGCTAGGGGAGATGCTAAATGTGACATAAAGCTTTTTGCACACAATAGGATCATTAGCTTCGATGGCTTTGCTGAGCAATGCAGCGTCGACTTCCAACTGAATGGTATTTGCCGAGAAGTACGGACGTAGGTGGGCATCCATTAACGAAGCGAATATCCAAAAAGCATCTTCTTCGGGTGATAGCAACAACAGATGACCAGCTATGGAAGTCAGTCCTGACAACCGTATATCAGCATCAGCAACGATACGACGCTCGGAGACAACGAAGATGTACCTGAGCTATATTGGATATCTGGCACCATATTGAGATAAGCCTGCAGGAGTGATACTAAAGGGCCATCGAAGGGATGCAGTTGCGGCTGATCAGGGAAATATGTTTTTGCATCCTTCTCGATATCCGAAAATGCAGGAACCCTCTGCCTCTTGCCCAGCTGCGCATATACACCAGGAATCGCGCGAGCTTTACTGTCGCTAAGATGACACCACACCAGATATCGTACCGACGAAGGTACTCCGTCCAACAAGAGACGCTTGACCTTCTTGTTCCTGCGTGCTTGTGATGGAGGTACCATGGGCAGGAGGGCCATCCACCTAACCTCACGCTGGCGGTGAGCATCTATTGACGTAGGCGACTCCACTGGCGGGGTACCCGATGAAATCGCATCGGGTAACATGGGGGATCGTGGGGCGCTCGAATGCATCGAGGCAGCATCGCCTTGCATGATACTAGGGGAATCAAGGTACACTGCGTCAGCATCACGTCCAACATGCGAGGATTCTTGACTAGAGCGACCCAATGACACTTGCGGTAAAGTTGGTTTCACAAGTTCAAAGTCCATGTCTTGTACTTGCACAGTGTTGCTCTCCTGGTTATCCAACGAAGACGTCACGCTCGCAGCATCGTCAAGCTTCGATTTGATGCTCATCTTACTACGAAGTGCGGGGAGACTGAGCTTTCCCCGAAGTTGGATTTCGTGTGCAAGAGGCAATGATCGTGTTGACTGCGAGTGCCATTCCGCAATAGGAGGTGGAGATGCCATTTGAGAATCGGTAGAATCAGAACTTTGTCGAGGAGGCGCACTATCGACGGAGTTCTTCCTCGGTACGTCCAATGACCCCTGACGAGCATTGCCTACCCAGGGATGTGGCGACACGACGTTGTTAGTCGACACTGATGTACGTCCCGTCATTGCAGATGCCGGCGATGCATCATAATCGCTGAGGTTACTCGGACTAGAGCTGGGCGCAGGGCTATCAGAAGAGCTTCCTATAGACGGAGGCTGCAGCCCGAACTTTGTGACACTTGGAATAGGAGATGGCTGCTGGAAACCAGGGCTGACTGGTGATTTGAGATGGCCTAAACTGGGCGATGGGGTATCGATAGAAGAAACGACAGTATTGGGACTTCGTTCACGATTCAAGTTGCCATGCTGTAAGGAAAGAGGCGAGGGAATGTGACGTGCCCTCAAAGAAGCCGGGAGACCATTTAGCGCGGGTGGAGACGTGGATGCAGGCTGCGAAGAAGGGGTAGGGGTGGAGGGGGCAGTCACAGATACACTTTGCGCCTTGGACTCGGGTTCTTCACGGCTACATCGCTCATCAGCTTCGACTCTTCATCACTGTTTGAGATAAACTCACCCTCGCTCAGGCAAAGCACCGACACTTTTAACTTCCCCCAGGCCCGAGAATGACCTTGATCTCGGTCGGGCAGCGCCCACCTGCGGTACAAAATTCGGGCGCAAGATTGGAGCCACGGGCGCACTACTATTCGTAGCTGGCTCCTGCGCATCTGCAAACGCTGTCGCTGACCGTCGGGGCAGTTTGAGTGGTGAAGTGCTAGTCGGATCAGCGCTTGGATTTGGACTAATATCTTTCGTACTGCTAGGTGGTGGTGCCCCGCGAAGAGATCCAGCCGCTGCATGCATAGCTGAGCTCCTTCTTGTCGGAATAGAGACCGTTGCAGCACGAACGGGCGATACAGGAGCCATAGACAGAGGAGCTGTTACGCCCGGATGAGCCATGCGAGCCTGTAATGGTGGAAGTGGGTCCATTGAGAACATGATAGGCACGGGGCCGGCACTCGAATTCAAATCAGGCTGACAACGAGCATACAGCGTCATCGGGGGCCTACGGGGGCCAGCGCCAACACCAGGACCAAAGAAGATACTTCGAAGGTGGCGGAGAATTTGAGCAGAGAACGCTGTGGCATTGGGCGGTGGCTGCAAGGGGGGTATCGACACAGGGCTTGCAGTGGGATGCTGGGGTCGTGCATACATGGGACCCAGCCCCTGGCTTCCTGGAGCTATTTTGGGAGCATTAGGATGAGGGAGGAATATCGATGTACGTGAGAAGGGATGAGGTGTCTGGTCGGGCTGATGTGGACGCAGAGTCGAAAGTGGTGGTGGGTTTCGGCCTGAAGGAGAGTTCCCTGTTAATGGACTCAATGCTGGCGAAGTGACTGGGGTAAGTGAAATACCAGGTGTTGGTGTAGATGATGATCCTGGCGCAAGTGCTGCAGGTGCCCGAGGCATAAGCGCAGATGGCACACCCATTGTCGATGGCGAGAGCGATGCTGGAGTAACAGTATGTCCTATGGAAGCAATCCCGACCTCGTTCGATACAAGCGACGTATCGCCTTCAACACCCGCGTCCTTATCCACTACAGGACGATCTTCGTCGTCGTCCACTACAAGGTGCATCCCCAGACCAACGCGCTGCTCGTGCCCGCTTTCCGTACGCGTGCGCCGTGCAGACACAACACTAGACCTATCTAAAGACGAAACAGGTGACCGTAGACTCCCTGCATCTGACCGCAGCCTCCGCGACTTACGAGGCGTATGTCCATCTTCTGACTCCGAATACCCAGATGACTGCATTTCCGTCTCCTCCGTGTAGGCCGAATGTCGTTCGTTAGCACCAAACGATGCATAAAGCAAGGGCGACACCGGATTTATCGCATGCGGGAAAGCCTTTTCTCCTCCCAAACCTTCGCCCTCGCTCTTGTCTTCCACATCTGTGTTCGCCACTCGCAACCTGCTAGGCACCCTAGTCGGGACGTGGGGGAACTGCGCGCTGAGTGGGGACAACGCCTGCACAGAATAAGTCGAGGGCGTGCGCGTGGACTCGTGGCTTTCAGAGAGCTGGCGTGCAACGGGAGGGCGCAGACGCACCTCTGGGCCGTCAACAAGACCGTGAGGTATATGCTCCAGGGTGACAAGCAGACTAGGATCTACAGAAGATATTGACTCCAAGGAAGGCCGTGAGGATACGGAGGCGGTCGCATGGGTGTGCGTAGATTGGATGTTGGCCTGGTCTGGCTGGCTTGAGCTTGAAACACTAGGCCGTCCGCTTGAAACGCTGGGCCGTCCGCTCGAAATGCTAGGGCGTGATAATGCATCAAAGCTGGGCCTGTCTGGCGAGAAGTTCGGTATGGGAGGGACCTTGCCACCCGGGAGAATGGACATACGTGCTTTCGACTTTACGGAGACTGTGGACATGCGCTTAGATGAGAAACTTTGGCGGGAGTAGCGGTAGTCGTCGTATATGTCGGATGCACAGGCCCAGTAGCCCTCTTCATCATCATCTTCCTTCTCCTCCTCATCTTCTTCGTATTTGTCTTCGCCGATCTCATCTTGCCTTTCTAGGTGCTGTCCTGGCTCATCAACCTGTGTCATAACATCGTCTTGCATAGTCTTGGTCTCGAACGATGCATGCGGCGCATTATTGTTCACCTCATGCTCAACTGCCTGGGATGCAGAGATAGAGGGCGTATACTTGGTCCATGGAATGGGTGTACTTCCACCCATTGCAGTACTCTCCTGCGCTCTATCACCCAAATTATGTCCTCCTGCTCCTACCCCCAGCCGTGGTTGATCATTATACCCATTTGCACTTTCATCCTCATCATCCTCATCATCCATCGCAAGTGCTCCAAGCAAGCTCAACCCGATGCCTGTCTCCCCATCTTCTTCTTCCTCCGCGCCCTCCAGATGGCGATGCAGCGCAGAAAATTGTGTGCTCTCATCGTGTTGATTGTCATGGTCATAATCAAGATAAAGCGAAGAATCGTCGGCATCCGAGTTCGACTCTGGTGGTGACGACGCAGTGAACAGTGGTGATGGCGGAGACTGTGGTATTTCATGTGGCGGTGGTGGGAAAGGCGAGCGTGGCGGACTGCTATTTGCGGGGAGCATGAAAGATGGTGAGTGTGATGAGAGAGGCGAGTAAGCGCGTGAAGTTGTCCCTGATCCAGGTGATGGAAGCAAAGGCGATAGTGGCGGTAAAATTGGACTCGCTGTAAGCCGCGGCGACTTGCTGAGGCGCAGTGGAGCCACGGTAAGCCCTTTCGCTGCACTGGTGGTGAAATTAGTAGAAGACGACGACGAATTTGAAGTGGGAGCTGAGGTTAAGGAGCCGTACGTCGAGCTTGAATTCAGGAAGGTGCCTGACATGGACTCAGAAGCGGATGTAGAAACGGAACCTGATGTGGACTGAGACATCGAAGGTGAATGATTCGATAGAGATCGAAGAAGCTTCTCCACAGATCCTGCGGAAGAAATGTGTGTTGAGCCAAAAGAAGGGATGGATTGCGCACTCGAGGTAGCTGGGGTGGAGTTTGATAAGGACGTTGGCATTGAATCCATTGATGAGGACGAAGTAGGCACCGACTGTGTGCTCGACGAAGTCTGCACTAAACCAAACGAAGACGACGGCACCACTCTGCTGGACGAAAACGAATCCTCGCTACTACGCCACCCATCGCCATCAGAGAACGTGGTCGAGGCAGCGCTTGACGTTGATACAACCGAGTATACAGATGACTCAGACACAGACATTGTTAACTCGTGTGTACGGCCCCTCAAACGCTCCGGGGAGGACGAATATAGATACATATCAGGTGAAAGTGGCTTCCGTCTGACAGGCGAACCTCCGAGACGCGGGTCTGAAGCACTGTCAACTCTTGCCACTGAGCTTCCAGGACGATTCGCATTAGAACTGCCTGGCCTTGGGCTGCTGGAGTTCTCTGGCCAGGACGGTGATGCCCGTTCAAGTGACATGGGACGTGTATCAGCAACGTGAAGGGATCCCCGTTTTGCCATGATGGGGCGCTTGAGTTTCCCGTGAAAATTTACGTCTGCACCAGAGAAGCGTCCCACAACACCTTCACAGAAGCCCTGGTGGTGAATCGATGTTAGTGGTGTATTGACCAAGGATAGAGTAAAATAAATGAATACGAAGATTCAAAAGGAAGTATTAAAAATGCAATATGGTACAAATGCAAGGGACAACATAACTGGTACAGCACGAAGAACACGCACCAAGTAATACCCAGTTTCAGGAAGCTGCATCAACACTGTGATTTTATCATCCTAGGGCGACAGATATTAGCATGATGAAGAAAAGGAATCCAAAAAAGACAGTGATCTAAAAGATGTGCTCCCTCAAGGCCCCTCTCTCCAGCGATATTACCACGAGATTATATCTCAGTCAAAATTATCTCGGCTCCTGGCTGAAACTGAACCCAACTGCATCCTCAACCAAACAGCCAAAAGGCTATAAGAAACGAACCACTAAACTCAAACACTCACCTTGAGAAACATGAGATCACCGATTTCCCTTGCAACACAATCCACGGTCGCTGTACATCGCCCAACGCCTCCTTTGGCGGCAAAGCGTGTCCAGCGGGCAAGTTCTTGGGCAGCCATACGCTGCCAGTTTGTGCTTCCTGTAACGGATACGGTGGATATGGGATAATTTTTCAGGTGAAACGACACAAGCGTATTGGTTGATATGTGGAGCCAGTGTCACGTTCTCAGGTGTATGCAATTGAGATATAGGATAACGCAGGTATCGGTCGAATGAAATTGCAGTCGTAGATGGTCGTAAACTGTTGAAACAAAAAAGAAAGGGTAAGTATGTGTTTTTGTCACAGCTCGGCCTGTCAAGAATCACTGAGACCAGAAAACAGGGCAGGCACAGATCTGTGGAACATCACAATCATAGACATTTTCCTCCGCAACGAACGCAGGAGGACACGTGGTAGGACTCACGCTCGCGGCATACTCACCTGTGAATGAACTGTGCTCACCCGTCAGAGCTCTCCTCGCTGCTGTGCACAACCGTTACAGCTGAAAAACAGTGTTTGATTCTACTTAAATTAGATTATATAAGCCGTGTGTAGTCCGTAAAAGTACTAAGTAATAAGTCATATTAGTAATCAAAATACGTGCCTGCACAGCCAGCTTGATAACGTTCTCGACGCTCGTGCAGCTGGAATCTTCGAAGCAACGACGTGGTACCGACTCTTGTGGCTTGTAGCTCGCTGGCGTTGCGAGTGTTTCTTGTGAGTTTCAAGTATCGATTACCTGTTGCAGTCTTTGTTTAGTAGCCGAACTTGAATAGCCGACAATGCGGTGCCGCATAACGGTTTTAACTTGCAGTTCCATCCTGATATGAACGGGTATCAACAGTTGTTCTTCATCGACATCAGTGACAGATTTAGTTCACATCGCATTTGGGTCAAATGCTTCATTAGCTGCCCCTGACCTCCTGAACTTTTTCCCACTAAGCAGTTTTATTAAGCACGGAGTCCCTGCATCTAGCTGCTCTGACTCACGTTTGGCAAGGTTCGAATTTCTCGTGCACTTATTATAACCCAACAGCTTCCTTGCGATCTGTCTAGGGCGGACTACGAACGAGCATTTTTTTTGTTCTATAAAAGTTTGTGTCAATCAGTCCTTTTCAAATCAATCAAGTTCAGTGAAAATCACTGTACGCTTCTTGTCGGCGTTCACAAGACCGCCGAGCAGACCAGATACTCCTAGACGTTGTATTCAAGGACCAATACTGTGCATCCTAGGATCACATGTAATGGGTATGAATCAGGTAGAATTGGATGTCGTCTACTTCAATCCGTATTTAGACCTTGAAGGTATCATAATAGGTAGGCGTTCAAGTTATCCGGCCTCGTCTCGGCCGCTCGAAATAGGTTTGTCTCCAAAGATACCTATATCAGTAGGACGGGTTGGTCCTCCTTTTTCTAGTGAGCACCGAACAGGTCAGTGGAGCATGGTGTATTGTATATGTTAAAAACACTCCACTTGACTCGTATATAGCTCATTCGAAGTATTTTGCCTATCAGCCCAGAAGCTTGGAGCTGTCATAAGGCGGTGAGGTACAAATTAGTCCAGAGTGGAGTGTAACCTTTGGAATCAAGCTTCAAGGCTTACTGAAGATGCAACCTCAGAAAAGTGCGAAACGAGTACAAGGATCTGCTCAACTTGCAAGTAAGGAACGAATGCATACTGCACTTAATTGACCCAAAAAAGTGAGATAAGGGAGATAACAGTGAACTCAACATTTACTGATGATGAAGTTGTCATGATGCCACCCACATCGTTCACCCATAGTTCGAACCAAAAAATAGCACAGCAGACTCCAAGTAAGATTCCTGCCGCAATCTGTGGCCATGTATGATGACCCAGCTGGACCCTTGACATAGCTATCATGCATGTCCAAGGTAAGATAACCACTGGAGCGAACGTCGCGAAACGAGGGAAGGTAGGGTGGATAGGTAGCTTAAGGCAAGCAAAGGTAATATATACAGCGAAGAAGGTGCATGTAGATGCATGTGAACTAGGCATCCTGACGATGTGATCAGAAATCTGCATGCACTACTGGAAGTGGATCGAGTTTCCGCACCCATAGGATACTTTATGTCTGGAGAACTGTGATGGGCGTTCTTGTCGTATTGCTTTCTTGATGATCTTAGCAAGTTTTGAACATAGCAATGCGCCGGTCACAAAAAAAGCGACTCCTGCAGAGCGGGTATAGAGAAGAGCTGCTGCGGTCAACACCGTCACTACTTTGGACGTCTGCAGAATGGACTCAGCACTATCTCTCTGTTCCGAAAACAGGTGCATACTTCATCTAGAAACTTGAGCCATAGTGGTAGTGCTGCTCCCATAGCTGTATCGTTTGAGCGCAAAAAGGGAGTAAACAGGAAACTCCGTTTGGAGAATGTTCAGCTCTCTTAATCATCTCGTCATATAAGAGCCACTGCCTGCGTGACGGTCATTCATAGTATTGAACCCTCACGGGGTTCGAACAGCGAGAACAGACGTCACCATGATGACGCGAGCTCCAAGTTCGAGTAAACCTGTTTTCGGTAAGTGAAATATTTGAAACTCTCTACCGCTACTCAACGTTCGAATAACTTCGCTCGTGGTGTACTATCATTGGAACAGAATGTACATGATTTCCACAGAAGGCCACGTAGTATCTCTGATCAGCAATATAGGGCCGACGGCACGCATGTACCATTTGCGGATTGCTGGTGGGCCGTGATAATCTAGTGTTGTCCGTCTTGGTGTTATGGAGTCACTGTCTCTGATCAGCAGGACGCGTACTACGTAGACAATCAACAGAAATCCCCGTGAGAAGATTTACACTTTTAAGTGAATGAACTATTTTCAATAGCTCAACGTTAAGCTTGACATGCGATATGAACTGATTACTATAGTGCCACCTTTCAACACATGCACTGGCTCACCTCACTTCACAAATATAGGTTCGGATACTACATCCATCTTGTTTCTAGGTCACTCGTCCCCCACATTCAAAAGTGCCGCCACAGTTACTATTGTGGTATTATTCGTCGATACTGCCAATGTGGCCATGTTCAAGTTCGTGGCTTTCCCCCACCTTTTGAGCTTTTCCTAGGCGTGCTGATTCTTATATATGATTAGCTCATTGACGAAAATGAAGTACACTTGTGCGTCAGCGTCTCGCGACTGACCTGAGTCGGTCATGAGGCACATCCCGCACTGGAAGCAGGCGACTCGAAGACATCGACGCTTCAGAGGCTCGAGTGAAGTTTTTACTAGAATGAGATCATCCTCGAAGGCTGTTCGAACCTGGTGGCAAGACCAATAAACCAGAAATGTGATGCAACCTTCCAATTCTCATATCGAAGCACGCCTGAATTTGATCCATTTCGGATCTCAACTTATGACAAATGGTTTGCCAATTAGTTGCCATCCATCCATCCCTTTCCCGAACTCATGAGATGAATCGGTAGATTCCTCCACATCATAGTATGGAATGTGGTGTGGAGAGGCCAATGATTTTCGGCCACTGCACAATTTGAAGTTGGTGACGCAGCTGGCAGTGTAAGTTGAAGACTTACCACTCAAAGTGTTGTGCTGCTAAACTCGTGCCAGGGCGCAAGCATGATCTTTGATGCCAAATGACGAAGTATATAAAGTCTGACGCTCGCCGTCAACATGTTGTATAACTTTTGCAATTAGCCATTCCGATACCTCACAATGGCAGAACCTGATTTCAATACGGTTCATGACATTATTGCTCAAGCTGCCGAGCGCTATCCGTCACACAAGCTTTCTTTCATAACCTCCTCCGCACATGACTCCTCCATTCAGACAAAGACTTTCAGCGCATTCAACCAATATGTTCGCAACGTTGGGCGCGCAATGCTCGAGTGGGGCAAGCCTACGGGATCGATTATCGTTGTATACCTTACCGAACACGAAGAAAATATGGCTGCCATCTGGGCATGTCTCATGGCTGGATATATCCCCTGTTTACAGCCCGTACTCAGTGCACAACAGGCGCACAAGGAGGCACATGTTGCTCACATCAAGAACCTGTTTGAATCTGCAGTTTGGCTCACCAACGAACTTGGTGCTGAACAGATCAGCTCCATTGATGGTCTAGAAGTTCACTTGTTCTCTGATTTGAAGGCCTCCGCAGAGACGTTTACTGTCCCACCTGACTGGGTTGCGTCCGAACCTAAGCCCGATGACCACGCAATGCTCTTCCTGACTTCGGGCTCAACCGGGTTCTCAAAGGCGGTCGTGCACACGCACCGTACCATTATTGCTGCTTGCCATGCCAAGGAGCTACGCTTTGGCCCGCCTTCCGAGTCTCGAGTCTTGAACTGTAAGGCTACCATCGTTAGAGCTTTCTTCAAGAATTAACTGTGGCCATCAGGGGTAGGATTTGATCACGTCGCAGGGTCTGTGGAAATGCACGTCACACCTCTCCTATATGGTGTTTCGCAAGTCCATGTACATGCATCTGTTATTTTGTCCGATTCCGTTCGCATGCTTCGTCTGATCGACGAAAATGTATGTTCCAATTCAGCCGTGGCTCCTACTTATCAATTCACCACGCTATTTTTTCAGTCCATTGGTCTAGCTTTCGCACCAAACTTCCTGCTGGCCAAGCTCACTCGCGATCTTGAAAAGCGTACCGATCTTTTTGGATCTTTCGACCTATCCTCCATCAAGCGGATTATTAGCGGAGGTGAAGCAGTGGTTTCGAAGACAGCAAAAGCCTTCGCTGCTATCATGAAAAAGCTTAGCAAGAACCCCCCCGCAGTTTCTTTCATAGTCTCTGCTGGATTTGGAATGACAGAAACTTGGTAGGAATAGTTATACAACATCGATACATCTAAAGTGACCAGTCTTGCAGCGGTGGATGCATTTTTGATCCAGTCAATATTTTTACAACCGAACCCACTCGCGAGTTCCTTGATCTTGGACGTCCCGTTAATGGTTGCGAGATGCGCATCGTTGACCCTATTGATGGCACCACTCCGCGCCCAGATGGCGAGAGCGGTGAGCTTCAGGTTCGCGGACCGATGGTTTTTGTATGCTACTACAAAAACCCCGATGCTACGTCCTCCAGCTTTATCGAGGGTGGCTGGTACCGCACTGGTGATGTAGGCATCATCGAAAGTGGCGTCATGCGCCTTATTGGTCGCATGAAGGACACTGTCATCATCCATGGTGTCACATATGGTATACCCGAGCTTGAAACCCATCTGCAGACTTTGGAAGGTGTCACGCACTCTTTCCTCGCTGCTGCTCCATACCGTATTCCTGGCCAGGAAACCGAGGGATTCGTCATCTTCTACTCGCCATCTTTCGACCTCAATGAAGCGGACGCCCCCATGAAACTTTTCACCACGCACCGTGCTTTACGTGATATATCCGTCAAGATGATCACCCAGCCACCTCAATTGATCATTCCCATCCCTGTGAAGCAGATGGAAAAGACAACTCTGGGGAAACTTTCTCGGTCTCGCCTCCTCATCCTCCTTCAGAAAGGTGGACTGGCGAAGCATATCGCCCGTGCTGACGAACTTCTTAGCGAGGCACGCGGCGCTTCCTTCGTAGCCCCCTCCACAAAAACGGAAAAGGCTCTTGCCAAGATGTATGCAGGTATCCTGAACCTCGCGGACAATGAAGTTTCGGTAAACGATAACTTCTTTGAATTCGGTGGTACATCTATTGGTGTTCTCAGGTAAATACCTAATTTACTACCGTAAAAGATAACCTTGATTGACGTAGATAATCTGCAGGCTTAAACGTGAGGGGGAGGCGTACTTTGGCCTGCCTGAAATCCCTGCCATACAAATCTTGAAGCACCCCGATGTCTCGAGCCTGGCCCATTATGTCGATTCCTTGCTCTCCAAAGACAGACCAGCTGATGAATATGATGCTGCTGTTCCCCTCCAAGTGACCGGAGACAAAACGCCTCTCTTTTTTGTGCACCCTGGAGTTGGAGAAGTTCTTGTTTTCCTCAGTCTTGCAAAGTATTTTCAGAATGAGCGTCCGTTCTATGGACTTCGTGCTCGTGGCTTCGAGCCTGGTCAGCCCTTTTTCACGTCCATGGATGAGATGGTTTCCTCGTATACTGCAGGTATCAGGAGGGTCCAGCCAGCGGGACCATATGCCATCGCTGGCTACTGCTACGGTGGTTTGATGGCATTTGAGGTGGTCAAGCGTCTGGAGGCCATGGGCGAAGAAGTCAAGTTTCTCGGTCTCGTCAATGTTCCACCTTATCTTGCTCAGCAGATGTACGATATCGACCTCATGTGTACGCTCAACGTTGCGTTCTTCCTCGGCCTTCTGTCGAAGCATGATTCTGAAAGTATGGTGCCCTCGTTTAAACCGCTCACACAGAAGGAGAGGCTCGAGATCGTGTGGAAGATGTCGCCTCCTGAACGTGTCGCTGAGCTCCAGCTGACATCTGAAACTCTCGAGCACTGGATCAAAGTCTCCGCGTCTCTCTTGCGCTGTGGCAATGGATACACCCCGACGGGTACAGCTCGTAAGTCATACATTCCTCGACTGAAGCGGAGTTTGCTCATGTCTTTCTAGCGGCCATTGATGTTTTCTATGCCATCCCGCCTCGCGGCCCAGATGACAAGGTTAACTGGCTTAAGGAGCTCAAGTCATGGGCTGATTTCAGTCGCACCGACCCAACATTTATTGACGTGCCTGGGGAGCATAACACGCTCATGGACTCTGATCACGCCTCGCAGTTCCAGAAGCTCTTCCGCAGTCGTCTCGAGGCTCGTGGAGTGTAATGTTTGTCGCGCTTTTTGTGTATTTATTTTTCGATAAATATATTGTTTGCACCCATACCACTACTGCGGCCTTTCCCAAATAATTGATTTTATGGCGGTCAACTTAATTAAATCACGTGCACGCACAAATTTCACGAATGTACTGATTACGTAGTACTATTGGGACCGTATCATCAAATCAATGAGACACCAACCATGTTCTCAGATCCTCAAGCTAATCCTCAGCAAATCCATCTTCCACCGACGGATTCAAGTTACGGAAGGATACCCCAGCCAGAATAGGCGGCCCCCAGCTTTCCAACCCGTTTCCCACCCGTCAATGGAGTATGGCGAAGCATCCCGGGCCATAGTGGGAGGAACAACAGCTGCCAGGGTGAGCCGATGAGTAGAGATCTACTTGAATCAGTGCATGTACAATGTGGCCAGGAATATTCGCTATGTCCGTTAGTCCAAGGCTTTCGTTGGGGAGGGAAACAAGCTCTCTGAATATGGGAGTCAGCCATGGGAGGATTTGAACCGGTGACAAAGCTGGGGCTTTGTCGGCAAGTCCAAATCAGGGTGCGCTTCCTGTCAATTGAGCTCCGTTCCCAAGTGCGCGCTGTGTCATGACCATTATTTATATCGCTGACTACGTGATTTTGATATATAAAAAACCACTCTGCTGGCAATACACCGTATAGTGATGCTACCAGGGAAAGTTTGGGAGTAAACCTCTCGGGTCTGGTGTGCTGGCCTCAATAGCCTGTCATTCAAATTGCCACTTTCTACATTAGGATAAAATTTCAAATGTGGGCCAGCGACACTCGACGCGTCAAGTACAGCGTGTGATTAGCTGGGCGCGTCAAAATATTAATGGTTCGAGTCCACCAATGTGGGTCACTGATACTAAGCAAGACTTCTATCAAGAATCGCGACACTTGGGAAGACCGTAATTTCAATAGAGAGAGAATTTCTCTCTTATATACCGCAACACACAAAGGAAGTGAACAAGAGTCAATACGCGGAGTTCTATGCGCCGTTCTGTGGCCACTGGCGTAATTTCAGAGCCTCAATGATGTTCCGAATCCCAAATCATTTGCATGTGTCGGTCCAACCCGGAAGGTCGAAGCCACAGGCCTTCTGAACGTCGCACCTCGGCAGAATTCGACAACTCATCTATACTTTTATTATACAGATGGCGATACCAAGTTATGTAATATCAACTCACCTTTGTTCGTCCTCTCACCCACCATTGATCCTTCTTCAAATTTACTCGCTGCCCTCGTGATCGACTCGGTCTAAAACTCTCGCAACATGACAAAAATGGCAGAGCCACCATCACCAGCAGTCGAGGAGGTCAAAGAAACGCCAGGTACATCATGGAGAAAGCTCGAGGAGCATGTCATCCCCAGAAATCGCATGGGTATTGTATTCTTTAGCTGGATGTGTACCATCTTCCTGGTAGCTATAGATCAAGTACGTATCTGTGTTATTTTGTTCGGGAATATCTGATTTACATACTGCGAGACTGTCGTTGCCACCGCCTTGCCTACAATTGTAGCCGAATTGGGAGGAGGTAAGAATTATAGTTGGGTGGGAAGGTACGTATATTATGTTACATATGATGTTATTACGTGGTACTGACTATTTTCTCCGTAGTGCTTACATGTTGGTGTGCTCCTCTTTGAGTCCGCTATATGGCAAACTATCCGACATTGTAGGCGAGTGCTTTTTGAGTGCCATGGCGCGTTGTTTTGAAATCATCTCATGGCTGGGATCTGCAGGCCGCAAACCCATGCTATACGGATGCATCCTCGTATTTTTGGTACGTTATTAGCACCCGCGTCCGATCCGGCTTTGACCTCATAGACCAGATTGGTTCGGCGCTGTGTGGCGCAGCTCAGAGTATGACATGGTTGATTGTCTCTCGTGCCTTACAGGGAGTTGGTGGCGGTGGCATCTTCCAACTCGTAAAAATCACCATATCTGACATTATTCCATTGCAAGAGTGAGCGAAATTCGAATATGTGTTACCAACACCGCATCGTTATAGACCATATTTACTTTCCAGGCAAGGCAAGTATGTTGGTTTAATTAGTGCCACTTGGGGTACAGCAAAGTAAGGTCAAAATAAAACGCACCCACAAGGAATAAACTTATTCATTTCTCAGTGTTGTCGGACCATTGGTCGGCGGCGTAAGGTCTTCCATCTTCTGAAGGGATCTGAGAATTTATTTTGTACGCTACAGATTCTCACTGATCATATATCTTGGAGGTGGTGAGTTTGCATGTGTTATTTCTTGACCGAAGGTTCACGATCGACGCGTATCAGGTGCTTCTGGATTAATTTGTGCGCTCGATATGTTTCTCCCCGAGATGAGAAGCATATTACTAATCCCACTTATGGGCAGACCAACTGGCGGCTTAGCCGGGGCACTTTTATTCTTTTTCTTAAATTTGAATCCACATCAAGGAAAACCATTCCGCGACCATATCCGGGAATTTGATTTTGTTGGGCTTTTCGTGATTGTTATTGGTGTTGTTTGTCTCCTTATTGGTCTCAGCTCGAGCGAAACGACGTGTAATTTCATCCTCCTGCTCTACAGAACCGGAACCTAATGTTATTTCCTTCTAGGGAAAACCCCCAAAACTATTGCGCTCCTTGCTGTGGGAGGCACACTGCTCATCATCGGTGGAATTAATGAGGTATTTACGAAGCGGTCCCCTATTATTCCTCCTCGTCTTTTCAAGGCAAGTTGTTGAGAAAACTGCTCATATCAATCAATATTGTCTCTGATGGTTTTCCAGACACGTACGACAGGCCTTACATTAGTTTCTGTCTTCTTGCACGCTACAATATTCCTTGCAGGTGTGTCATGTACGCGAATTTATCTCGAAAGTAACATTCATTTATATCACTGCTCCAGGTTCTTAGTGAGTACGTTGTAGACAGTGCTTATACTTGATATCATCATGGGTTTTCTAGCTACCTTCCAATGTACTACCAAGGTAGGCCTGTCCTGTAGCCTTCTAGTCTACATTTTGCTGAACTCGACACAAGTTCTTGGTGCATCCGCAACAATTTCTGGCGTCAAGTAAGTATCGAATCCGTGTATTATTGTTATTCTATATTGCTGATATGCGCAGAATGCTTCCTTACTCGTTAAGCTGCTGTGTCTCGTCGTTGGTTTCCGGAATGGTTGTGACTCGCATAGGGTCCTACCGCCCTGTCATGTGGTTTGGATGGACTGTCATGACACTTGGTTGGGGCCTCATGATCATGCTGGATAATGCGACCAATATGTGCGTATGTATTCAGTGTCCAAGTCACGCGGTCGTCATAGCCTTTTTGTTCAGTGCAGCGCAGGAAATCTACCCCCTTATTGCTTCCCTCGGTATCGGTTGCTTGTTGCCGGTGAGTTTACCACATCATAACGATGCATGCTCATCATCGCCTCTGCGATAGACCCCGTTTATTGTCATACAGGCAGCCATGCCTATTAAGGATATGGCCACCAGTACAGGGACTTTCATGTTGTTTCGGTTAGTGTGATTTTACAATTTTTTCCATAGGTACTTATCGGCCTTGAGAACTCTCGGGAGTACGGTGGGCATGGCAATGGGAGAAGCTGTTATTTCCAGTGTCCTCCAGCAGAAACTGCAGGACATTGAAGGCCTAACAATTGACACCTCTGTCACGGCTTTAAATGGCAACATCAAACTGATTTCTTCCATTTCTGTAAGCAAGCTTCCGTGGTCTCTGTCGCGGCTTAACGATTAATCCCACCAGAACCCAACAGTGCGTAACGAGGTCATACGTGCTTACTCGCAGTCTATTAGCACGATTTGGTTGGTCAGCACCCCGATATCTGCATTCGGTCTCTTTCTTGTTCTCTTTATTCGTAGTTACACGCTCAAGCGCACTATCATCCGCAGCGGCGAGAAGTCAGGAGACGTTGAGACGGGTGCTGAGCAAGTGGCAGATGCAAACGACTTACCAGCCATGGAATTGGTGTCTTTGGAGAAGCATAAGCCACTGGCCTGCTTCGATGACGCCACTGGATCAACAGACTCATTGGACGATATTGGCAAGCAGAGGATGAAAGTATAGAACGAGGGAAAAGATATTTTCCCTGCATCTTGGGCATAGAGGTTGGCAACACCCGAACTTACTCCATCGACGGTCTGACTCGGGTCCAGATGGCAATGACTTGAGAGTAAGTGGCGTAAATGACGCATTTCGAGCATCGAAAGGATTTCTCTCACTTACAGATACCTATCATTACATGATGACGTTAGAATTCGTTCTGCAGAGTTCACACATCATTCTGTTACAATACCTCATCTCCGCTTATGTCACAAGTGTTCCAATGCCATCGTCGTTGCTGCGTCTTGCATGGCCGTAATAAATTCCATCAACTATGAGACTCGCGGTTCAATCCAATCAAATACCATTCGAAGCACATTATAGAGCTCCATCGTCAATTTATACCAGCTGTGAGAATTTTGAGTCATTGAGAGTACATATGCATGGATATTTGTAAGTTTAGACCACTACGAGGACTTGGTAACAAATTTGTTGCTATTTGACGTTGTGACCAGCATTTTCGGTGATGATAGTTCTGCTCTGGAGTTGTCGTATCGCCAAAAGCATTTCGAAGACCAACAACTCCATGGAATGAAGCAGACGTCGCCATAGTAGTAAATGAAAGAAGAGCAGAGGAAACAGAACCCAAGAGGAGAACGTGACGTGGTGGGACGCAATTACACCTGATGCTGGCGGTATCAACATTGCCATAGTTCGGGTGCACAATGAGCATGATCGATTTTCAGGCTGCGGCTTTGTTTGAACCCAGTAACTTAGTACTCTCGCCGACAGAAGATTACAGGTGCACCAGAACTTATGACTTCGGCATCAGCTTGTCCACGCAAATGTCATGTTGTTCGTTGGTGTCAAATCTCAGATATCTGTTACCTGGACCATGCCATGTACGACGCGCTCAAGATCATCTTATTTTCAAGGATGAACACGTCAGGCCTCCTCTCTTACCCTTCATAAACACTTGTATTTTCTTGCTCAAGCAGCCATATCTCCCCCACTTCCTTGTCTTATTCTAACATGCGACGAGTCTTTACAATGGAATATCGAAGTCCGTCCCTCAATTCCCGACTTATTCGTCATAGCCTACGACGTCTTAAAATCCGTCTATTAAAACTTGCGCACTCCGTTGATAGACTGTTTAATGGGGTGTATGAGACTTTTGGAAATCAGACTCTTCAGTGCTAAGCAGCCTAAGGTTTTATATCTGTCCAAGTTGGCCGCCATCATGGGACACGTGGGGCCATGGACGATTGTAATCCACGGAATCATGAAAGGTTATCCCATGTACATGAAACACAGCATGACGTAGTAGACAAAATTGCACCCGATGCCGGCGGTATCTCAAGGCTTTTTCTTGGCACCTTCTTCGCCAACTTATCTCACTTGAACGGGCTCTTGAAGTTAAGTAGTAATAATTCACATATCGTCCTTTCCCAGCCTTACTGGAAATGATTAATGAGGCTCCACACTCCGTATGGGCAAAATTTACAAAAGCCCTTTTCACATCCGTCAGGGTTCGCAGGCTCATGATCTTCTCGGAACGTACAACTGTGTAAAATCGATTCAGCCTATCATTTTGCAAATAGCTGTAAAACGAACACGTTCTACCGAAAATCATTCTGCCGCATGACAGCAACAACAACCCAGCCAAACCGTGTCCATAAGCATATGCAGGGTATAAAAGTCGGTCGGCATCCTGCAGTGTTTCTCTATCCTCAAAGAAATCCCCCTTGAAAAATCACATATCACCTCGCACAGAAAATGCGTTTCTCCCTCCTCGCCGTTGTCGTTGCTTTGACAGCATCTATGTTTGTCAGCGCATGTTTGGACGTGAATGAAGTTTGCAGCGGTGATGAATGTTGCGATGGCTTGATTTGTTGGAAAGGTCGTCCAGTAAGTTGGAGCAGGTCGCGTCAACCAGGATTTAACTACATGACTCACTCGCGCACCTTAGGATGGAACTAAGATCTGCCAGTAGTAGTCGGTCGAAATTGGGCCGGAAGCCCAAGGAGCACGTTGCAACAGTGGGTCATTCTTTTCTGCTTTCGCTTTGATATCATGGTTGATGCGTTGATAGTGCAATACCTAGTTCAGAGACAATCAGTACAGCTGCCTTTGAAGAAATTTTCGTACTGCTCGAGTAATGTGTATCTTTGAATTTAAGTATCTGAAAATGATCGACCGTCGCTATTTTTGCTTGTGGTCGATTCGAGTAGGGTAGAGAGTTCGGGAGTGATTTTCTTCGTCGAGCGAGTTTCGGATGAGGCGCAAGGACGGGCAGTGCATCAGTGAACCTGTGAACAGACTCGCATGAGATCAGTGTTTATGCAGTAGTGGTACTCAATGACTTTTGAAACTTTCAAAAATTTGCTTGAACATCTAATTTCTGCATCGTGTCTCACTCATGCCATGTCCGTTCCATCCACCCAGTCAGTGGCGCGGCCTTGAGGCCCAACTAGAAGCTAGCCAGAAGCGTAAACTGGGTACCAAGATCAATCATCTTTAGTGCGATACAGAAAAAGTGATTTGGAGATGGGAAAGGCGTTTGCGTTCGACAAAGCCCTCTCCTGATGTGTGGAAGTCGGGTATAGTCGAAGCCCAAGGTCGTACAAGAGCACGCGTTATGATGAAAAAGAGGGCAAAATAGTAAAGATAAAGAGCGCGGTACTTGACATCACAGAGTACCAGTAGCGTAAGAGCTAGGGATTGGCTCTCTTCGTCGAGCGAGCGTAGGAAGGGGTACAAGGGACGATTGACTGAGAAGAGGAACTTGGAAGAGTGTCCATTGATGGTAACTAGGGCCATTGGGGTATGCTATGGAATAACTTGATATCGTTGTAGGTGTCCAAAACCGAAGAGAAAGCTATGACCATGACTATGGTACTAAAGATATTCGACCAAGCGCATATCAAGGATGACAATGAGTAACAATTTACGAAAGGTAGTACCTCATTATCTCTGCACAGCAGTTGCAGTGTCACTGGCCTACTAATGGCATAGGCGATTTGCAGATACTGCATATAAATGAGCAACGAGTGAGTGAGAAAACAGACGTGAGACCGAGTACCGACAAGAATGGGCATCGACTTCTCAACTTTGTCCCTGCACTGGCAGGGTTACTGCAGGTTCAAATGATGGAACGATGAATGGGGTATTGGGGTAAGAGACCAGGGTGTCGAGCGAGCGTTCCGTGGACCAGGTTAGTGATGTTGCCCCAAAGCTAGGGCTTTGCCTGGCTTCAGACGGCTTTGGCCTGAGCCGCGGCTCGAGTAGGGGAAAGAAGAGTTACCTGTAAATCATGAGGTCACTGTGCATCCAGTATTCAACCATATATAACTCACCTGCGCACCTTCGGATGGAGTTGTGACAATTTGAGCCGACAGCCCGAGCGGCATTTATGTGATGGCGAAGATAAGAAAAGAAATTAGGATAGATGGATGTGCGAGCTGCGGGCGATGGCCTCCAACTCCAAGTCGTGGGGGACGGGAAGGAGGTCGTTATGCTATTGCGGCTGTGTCGAATTCGGTCGTAAGGGACATCTGATATGGAAGACTGAAATTATGGCCAGGTGGCGCGAAGTGATGGTTGATGTGAATGTGAGCCAGCGGTCGCCTTCAAACTTGTGGGCATTGAAGCTCCAGGTCGTAGGGGACAACGAGGGAGGCCGCTGCAGTTCTCCGGTATTGAGTTGTAGGGGATAATGATTGTGCGTGAAGGTGTCAGTCTTGGATGATTTTGATCGAGTTTCCTGGTTTGGGCAGTCTAGCTTCGACTGGCTCTAGATCTATTAGGTTGGGCTGGGCCGATGGTTAGAAAGGGAAGGACGCAGGCAGGTGGGAGGGCGGGACACTGCTTACGAATTCGATTGTGTCAATTGACTCATGAGTGGAACGGTAAATTTTGAATTGACGGATAAGATTATAAGACGCGTGGCTAATTAAAACGCTAGAAGTAAGACTGCTGTGCGACGAATTAAAAGGGAGAGGCGGGTGGGTATAACGAAATTTGAACGAGCGAGACGACGAACTCGGTGATATGAATAGAGGACGCGAACAACGTGGCCGCTCAGCTGGACGCATGGTGCGAGGTATTCCGGCAGGCTTCATTATCCGGCACCTGGACACATTCCTCTGGTGCAAGAGCGGTGCATACAATAGTATACATAGCACAGTATTGAAGGAAAAGAAACATGGCGATTACTTAGAGCTTCCATGGATTACATAATAATAATTAAAGTTATTTCTGCCACTGATCGCGACACTCCTTACAGCAGCAAAAACATGCGATACAGTCAGTTCTGTGCAAGTTCTCGCGCAACAGATTGTCCAACAGTACTGAGGGTCATGCCAGGCTGTGCAAGTTGCAATATCATATGCGAATTCTTGCCAGAGTGCGAATGCCGTACTCTTCAGCCTCGTGTTGGCTGTGCGCCTAGTTCATCGTGCCATCAGGCTGCTGTACAAATCTGACGACATTGTAAACGAGGCTCGATATTATGCAAGTCGCCCATGCCCTTTTGACTCATCGGCGCCGCATGGGGTGGATGCCACGTGCATGCTGTGTTTTCCTCCTTTATAGTCCTTCAGAACTTTACAGATATTGCAGTGTTTCATGAACAGCTGTTCGTTTGGATACGTCCCTCAGCCATCATTTTCATAATGGCTCATCGTCAACGTATCTCTTCAACCCCATCAGAATCAGACTCTTTTCCAGCGTTGTCGCTTAGAACTCCCCCAACTCCTTCAACTGCTTCCAGTACCGAGCCCTTGTAAGTCGCTGCTTTTTATACCACATGTATGGATTTAATTTCGTATTTTCAGGCAAAAACAGGATAAGTCAGTATATAAAGCACTGTTCATCTAAACGCCTGACAATGTGCTTATTATTTAGTGAGGAGCCGAACCACCCAGACCACACTCAAGATCAGGCAGAGATGCGCCTCAGTGGAGTGCAACAAATCATCACTGGTATGCGATATTCATCTCCGCTCGGCTTGTATTGACCATTTCCCTAAAGCCATTCGCGCGACTGATCTCACTCTTGGCCTCCGACGGATCCCCGCTGGCTTCCATGCAGTGATCAAGGCCGACGACGTTGAATACCAGACAAGCAATTTATCTGTAAATCTAGACCAGGCTGTCGTCGAATGGCACGAGCGCATTCCTCTGTAAGTCATCTTTGACCCAACTGTCCTGCAGGTATTGAGAAAGACTCTAGGCCATGCGAGCCACGCTCTAAAGTCCGGATCAGCGTATATGTCCTCATTCGAATTGGGTCCCATGCTCTGTCACGGAGAGCTCCTTCGCACGTTCGAGATCTCAGTCGGAGAACTACTGGATCGCAGCGAAAAATCGCATCGTCAGTATCGTCGATTGTACACAATGCCTGACAGATGCTGACGAGCATCGCAGCCATACTATTTCAGCCAAAGCAGCAGGAAGTCGTATCCCCTTGTACTTCACTTTTCTTGACAGTGGAGCAGCAGCTTTCTGATCAAAACGATGCCGCACATCTTTGCCCCCCTACTATTGTGAGCGAACAATGCAGTCTGGCATTCTGATACTGAAAGCCGTAACGTGTAGCCTACGTCCCCCGATATGGATGCATTAGCGATGAGGACGGATGCCGGACATCGTCTTCTCGCACGATACCGCAGGACGCAGAACAGTGGGGATCTCAATCAATCCATAAACCACTTTGAACGGGCCTCGTATCTTTGCCCATGAATCATCCCTATCGCCCTGCAGCGTTATTCAATCTCGCCACCGCAAAGTTTGTTAGTTGCCAAGCTGAGGGAAGATACCTCGACCTCGATGACCCTGTCTCCCTGTTTCAAGACGCCCTCGACTTGCGTCCCACCGGTCATCCGGACCGAGCGGTCACGCAGCTGCATCTTGCCATTGCTTTGCTCTCGCGCTTCGCGAAACGGGAATTTCAAACGGATGTTGATGCAGCCAAAGAGTTACTCAGCGAAGTCATCAATGTCTGCCACGCCAACAGCCACATTTACAGAGCGGCTACGATTGCCATGGAAACATGCGCTCTGCGTTCTGCTAGAGGCATTAATGCAAATGATCTCGGGCAGGAGTGGCACGCCCCATCCATGCTTCCGTTATCGCCAAATCAACTTGCTCATCAAGCACAGCGGTGTTTGGAGAGAGATGAACCTAGCGCCTTAGATGAAGTGATATCCCTTCATTATGATGCACTGGGATACTACAACGCCTGGCATGCTTGCCGAGGGCAATTGCTAGGCAATCTAGCTGTAATGCTAGGAACTCGCTTCGAGCGTCGAGGCAGCGACAAAGACTTGGATGATGCTATCGCGCTTTGCAGGGAAGCGCTGGCTTTGCGCCCGGTCGGTCACACAGATCGGTCTGCAGTCATTAAACAACCTCGCGAATCGACTCTCCTCCCGCTTTGACCACCGAGGCAACGGCAAAGACTTGGATGATGCTATCGCACTTTGCAGGGAAGCGCTGGATTTGCTCCCGGTCGGTCACACAGATCGGTCTGGGTCATTAAACAACCTCGGGAGTATACTCTCCTCCCGCTTTGACCACCGAGGCAACGGCGAAGACTTGGATGATACTATCGCCCTTTGCAGGGAAGCGCTGGCTTTGCTCCCGGTCGGTCACACAGATCGATCCAAGTCATTAAACAACCTCGCGAATCGACTCTCCTCCCGCTTTGACCACCAAGGCAACGGCGAAGACTTGGATGATGCTATCGCACTTCACAGGGAAGCGCTGGCTTTGCGACCGGTTGGTCACACAGATCGGTCTGCGTCATTGAACAACCTCGCGACTCAACTGTCCTCCCGCTTTGACCACCGAGGCAACTGGCGAAGACTTGGATGATGCTATCGCACTTTGCAGGGAAGCGCTGGCTTTGCTCCCAGTCGGTCACACAGATCGGTCTGGGTCATTAAACAACCTCGCGAATCGACTCTCCTCCCGCTTTGACCACCGAGGCAACGGCGAAGACTTGGATGATGCTATCGCACTTCACAGGGAAGCGCTGGCTTTGCTCCCGGTCGGTCACACAGATCGGTCTGGGTCATTAAACAACCTCGCGAATCGACTCTCCTCCCGCTTTGACCACCGAGGCAACGGCGAAGACTTGGATGATGCTATCGCACTTGACAGGGAAGCGCTGGCTTTGCTCCCGGTCGGTCACACAGATCGGTCCAAGTCATTAAACAACCTCGCGAATCGACTCTCCTCCCGCTTTGACCACCAAGGCAACGGCGAAGACTTGGATGATGCTATCGCACTTGACAGGGAAGCGCTGGCTTTGCTCCCGGTCGGTCACACAGATCGGTCCAAGTCATTAAACAACCTCGCGAATCTACTCTCCTCCCGCTTTGACCACCGAGGCGACGGCGAAGACTTGGATGGTGCTATCGCACTTTGCAGGGAAGCGCTGGCTTTGCGACCGGTCGGTCACACAGATCGGTCTGCGTCATTAAACAACCTCGCGACTCACCTCTCCTCCCGCTTTGACCACCGAGGCAACGGCGAAGACTTGGATGATGCTATCGCCCTTTGCAGGGAAGCGCTGGCTTTGCTCCCGGTCGGTCACACAGATCGGTCTGGGTCATTAAACAACCTCGCGAATCGACTCTCCTCCCGCTTTGACCACCGAGGCAACGGCGAAGACTTGGATGATGCTATCGCACTTGACAGGGAAGCGCTGGCTTTGCGACCGGTCGGTCACACAGATCGGTCTGGGTCATTGAACAACCTCGCGAATCGACTCTCCTCCCGCTTTGACCACCGAGGCAACGGCGAAGACTTGGATGATGCTATCGCACTTCACAGGGAAGCGCTGGCTTTGCGACCGGTCGGTCACACAGATCGGTCTGCGTCATTAAACAACCTCGCGAATCGACTCTCCTCCCGCTTTGACCACCGAGGCAACGGCGAAGATTTGGACGAGTCACGAGAGAACCTACTTTGTGCATTGACGTTGTTGACGCAGCATGATCCTCGTCGATTGATCGTCCATAAATCTATAGCCAACGTCTATCTATCATTCCGTCGTTCAGAGCTTGACGGCACCGGCGCTGGCGAAAATACAGATAGTTTGAATGATGCCATGCATCATATTAAGGCAGCAGCAAGCATTATATCTGCAGGCTTGCTCCCCCGCCTGCGGGCAAGTCTACTTTGGGTGCACCATGCTCGTCAACATTCACATGGTACTCAACTGGAGGCTTGTACGACTTCTATGCAACTTCTGGACGCTCACATGTCTGTGACAGCCTCCGTGTCATCTCGTCATAATGCCATGAAGGAATTCCCAAGTACACTTGCCGTGGATGCTGCATCGTGTGCTCTTCATAGTGGTGACGTCACTCGCGCTGTTGAGTTGTTGGAGCAAGGCAGGACCATCATCTGGACCCAGATGACTCGACTCCGCACACCTCTTGACGGGCTCCAGGCTTGCGGCGATCATGCGGTGACTCTGATGAAGAAATTCAGAGATCTCAGCTCTCTCCTTGGTAAACCTCCTTCAAGCCATCCAGAAAGGACCCAAAGAGTCGATGTGGAAGCAGAAGCCACCCGGTACAGACGTCTAGTGGGGGACTGGAATGGAACTGTGGAAGAGATTAGGAAGGTTGAAGGCTTCTCTCGCTTCCTGCTTCCCCCTTTGTTCTCCGATCTTCAAGATGCAGCTCGTGATGGGCCCATCATCATGCTCGTCGCAAGCCAATCGTCTTGCGATGCCATTATCATCCCGCACAAGCAACCTCCCACCAGCATTCAACTCCCTACCGATATTCAGAAACTCGCCAAATTGGTACTCACATTGCGAGAGTCAGTTGAGAAAGAGACCGGGCACGCGCTGGTGGAAGCTTTGAACGAGTTGTGGAACAATGTCGTCGGCCCAGTGGTCGAGAAATTGCGTGGATTGGTAGGACTAGGCTCCCGAATATGGTGGTGCCCGACGTCTCTCTTCAATTTCTTGCCGTTGCATGCTGCTCGCGAGTACAGAAATGGGGGAAAGTCTCTTTCGCAGCTCTATATATCTTCGTACACCCCATCTCTCACCGCGCTGATCAAGGCTCGCGCAACTCGTGACAGACCCACGTCAGTGCCCTTCGTCGCCATCGGTCAGAATTGCCCAGCCGGTGCCTCTTCCACTTTGGATGCTGTGGAGCCGGAGCTGGAATTGGTGGGGAAACTTTTGCCTCCTCCCCCAACTGTCTCCTTCTCCAAGATAACCAGCGTGGATGCCACAAAATCGAGAGCACTGCGCGCATTGCGCGAAAATACCTGGTTCCATCTCGCATGTCATGGGACACAGAGATTTGACGAACCCTTCAACTCAGCCTTTCTTATGCGCGACCAGCCTCTTTCGCTCCTCGATATTGCACAGATGGATCTGTCTCAGCATCATTTTGCCTTTCTTTCTGCCTGTGAAACCGCGGTCGGTGACTTCAGAACGCCCGACGAGGTGATACACCTAGCGGCTGGCCTGCAGTTTGCTGGGGTTAGGAGTGTCGTCGGGACGTTGTGGAAGGTCAACGATGATACTGTGCAGCGCTTAGTCAAGGCATTCTATGAAACGTTTTGCGAGGGTGGCACAATGAATCCCAAACGAGCTGCCAAAGCGCTGCACCGAGCGTTCCAGTTGTTGGCTAGTGAGGAAGACATACCCTTGTCCCAGCGCATAGTGTTTGTGCATATTGGCATATGATCAATTCCGTGCGTCCTCCCACCTTGTTGATGAGAAATAATCTGATGACTTGGCATCTAGTCGTAGCTACGCGCAATCTATTGCCAAGGACTTCGATATTTCGGACTTTAACACCGTATACCTACACGATATGTACACCTAATTTTGACACGAATCTCGTATTTTCCAATTTGTTGCCTCGGAGCCCGGGGTGGTCGCTTCTAAGGTGCAAATCCTGATGGTTTGTGCGCAAGAATGAAGTTGTCTATGTATTGGATTTTCTTTTGTGGACGAAGAAGAAGAGTTAAATGTATTGCAGGACAAATAGTATCATCTGACTAGGGACACCGAGAGGGAGATAGGCATGTGAGTATTTGGGCAAAGCCCCGAAGGGGGTTCCGGCCAGAAACAACGCTCCGAATCTAAGAGGTCGAGGTGAGCCGTGATACCCAAACACTTAAGGAGCCCAGCGACGCGTCAGGCGAAGGTTGGACTCCCGTTTATAAGGAGCGGGGCGAAACGTACCTTGTATTAGCGAACCTTTGCCATGGTATAATGGGTAAAGGGTTCAATGATTGGAGTATCTTGCAGGTAAGGTGCCATTATGACCGCATGATTGCGCAAGTATATGGTAAAGGCTTCGCTTGACCACCTTCCCATAGATTTTACGACGTCAAATGGAACGCCTCGAAGTAAATACTCCAGCGTTCCTCCTATGCGGATGCCGTGGCCTTTGAGGTCTGGGCAGCCGCCGTTCTTGGCGATGCTGCTAATTCTTTGAAGAAAGGCTCCTCGTGTCAATGGGCGCATGCCCTTGGGGTGCTTCCATGCGAATATGTGATCATTGGGTGCCGGATCATTGATTTCGAAGTGCTTGAGTAAAGCTTGCATGGGGTCAGTTGCGTCTGCTTGACTCGCCCAGTATACATCTTCTCCGTTGACCGACGTTTTCGTGCGGGGAATGCGAATCTTAGAGACTCGGAAGCCATGATGGTCCTGACAATCCAGCTGAACGTCCGCTCGTTTGATGAGCGGAATACCTTCATTGAAGGCCTTGATGGATTGTATAGTAAACTCTCCAAGCCGCGCTAGTGAGTAAAAGGCGCCTGTCAGGCACGCGAAAACGGCTGCATCAAGAGGTGCGTCTAGTTGCAGATGATCCCGAATCTGAAGGATGGACGCGATGGTGAACGGTTCTCTCTTTGCACGCTTGGAATGAACTGGGGCTTGTTTGGCTGCCCTGTCAAGCGCCGTCTTTAACTCGTGTTGTTGCATGTTCCAGGTTTGTCCATGAAGGATGTGCCAGGCGCGCACTGCGTATACGTAATTGGCGAGTGTTTTTCCAGCATATGAGCCGGCGCAGCTTGCTATGAAGGTAAGAATGGTGATATTGTCCGCTGGACACCTCTGGAGTTCTGGGATGCTTCGAGTATCACAGAAGACGTGGAAAACAAGTAAGCCTGCTCCATATGATTCCTTGGTTCCTTGGGCCCAAGAAGCATTCATTACCATAAGTACCCGTTGAAGGTCTTCATCTGTAATAGCAAGGATTTTTCCGTCTGCATTCCGTACAGATCGGCTGTGTACTGGGTACCAGAGTTTGAGCCGATCTCGCGCTAGACAGTGGGGGCGCAGTGGGGAAGTGATTGGAATCAGTCCTGGTTTGTAAGGAAGGGGTTTATCAAGTGTATTGATGGGTATTAATGGCGCTGCAAAACGGGTGGGCTCTCTTTGCTTCTGTTGTGGAGTCTTCATTGAGGGAGTGACGTCTCGTTGCGTTTGAATTAAGGATGCAGCAGATATGGTGGATAGCAGGTGCGCTGAAGACAGCAGAGAGCAGGATCGTTTGGGTGGTTCAGGATTGGGTGGATGAATCGAAGGGATCATAGATGAATCGGCGGAGTGGATGGGGAATGGGGAGGAGGGTGAGGAGAGATCCTTCATCAGCGTAAATGCCTCGTGAGGGGGGATCGGCTGGGTTGGCACTACTGGTGATGTATGTTGAGTGGAAAGAGTGTGTAGATGAGAGGCCGTGTAAGAATTCAAATATTCGGCGGAATACTTGATTGACGGCTGTGTTGCGGCTGCGTCCGTTTTTCCATCCGTCGATGACTCCCTGATTGTCACCATAGACTCGGAAGTGTCATTCTGGTTTATCCAAGGCGACAATGTATCGAACGAGAAGCTCAAAACCGATTGCTTCAGCCCAGCCGATGTCCTTCTGTCCTTCGAGGGTGGCCCACCCAGGATACAGCTTCCACGCCCTCCATTTGTCTCCAATGATGATTGTGATTCCGACGCCCGAGCTCGCATCTGAGAATGCTGCTGGGTTGTGCAAGGTGAGAGGCTTGGGAATGGTGCGGCCAAGGAAGGTAATCTGTAAGATGTCTGCCCACCAAAGCATGTCTTCTGCAAGGCCTTTAACTGGCCGATGAGGTAAGAAAGGATGCTTATGACAAACCTGCAGCATAACCTCGAGGCTCGTGAGATACGCATGGCCTCGAGGATGAACCAAAGACACATTGAGAAGCTTGCCGTGAAGTTTTTGTATGTCAAGAAGAACATGTACAGTACGATCCTGCCATTCTCGCACTGCTCTACTATACTTCGCTTTTTTCTCGTCTGAGAGATAAACCAGATTCTGTGCAAGGTCCCATGTGAGGCCAATGTATGGGTTGCAATATGCAAAGTTAGCGTCTTTCTGAGCTTCCCATGGCGTGCGTGTAGCAGTAGAGGATCTGTTGATGTCGTCAAAGTTAAAAGTGAATAGTTTGTCTTCCGCTGACCGTGGTGAGCTGTTTGATAGATCGAGAATCGGGAATCTGCAATCTTCATCAAATTGTTCTGTTGTACCATCATCGAAAATGTGGCCTCCAAACCATACTCTGCCGCCGTCGTGATGTTGACCTCTTTCAGTGATGTCCGCGTGCCAGTGTCAACATTGTTCATTATATTGATCAAGGAACTCTCTCCGGATGCGAAAAAAGAGATGGTCGTCAACCCAATGTGACGTTGGACCAATACCTTGCTATCTGAAAATATTGAGTCCTGCATCTGCGAGATGTCCGTACGCCCCAGCTGAGGGCGAAACCCCAAAACATGTACAAGTGTCGATGCAGAATGTGGAGTCAGGTATTTGAACAACAGCGCCTGGCCATTGCGAGGGATGAAGGGGAATAGTGCGGTATGCTTCGGAGACGTCTCTCATTGTGATTTGTGATCCAGGTGGCAACCGACTGATGAGAAGCGCGGTAGAGTGGAATGTTCCCCAGGTACTGGGAAAGTCGTCTGGATTAATAGAAGAATTAATTGATGGATTAGGGAATGTGGTAGCTTCTGAGTGAGGGAATGAATAATCTTGTATGACGCGAAAGCGCCCTGGTTTGCCGGGTTTAGGAATAATAGACAAGGGAGAAGATTGAAATGGACCAATGAGAGTTTCAATTTCAGCAGCCATGCATGGGCCAATGTACCTTTGTTTTTGGATTTCGGAATTGATAATAGATAGGAATTCGTTTTTATATATAATGATAGATTCTTTGTTGGGAGGCGCTTGAGTGGTTGTAATGACAGGAAAGTTAAGATTAAAGCCTCGACGAAGGCCATCAGGAATAAGAGGATATCTATCAATGAGTCCGGCTTGCGTAAGGTAAGTTTCCCATGCGTCAGGGTCATATGGTGTGAGGGCAAGTTTGCACTCTGTGAGAGGAGGCCGTACATCCTGAGCAGAAATGCCGGAGATCGTGCGTTGTGTTTTTGCAACCAGAGACTCGTTGCCAGTCGCTGCAGACTGGTCGTGAGTCTCGCATGGTAAGGATCTTTCCGACTCGAGTGCAGAGAGTGTTGTGAGCATTGTCCCATGTCTTGGCCGCTTTGCACTCGACGATTTTGTGTGCGTGCCTGTTACAAGAACATCTAGACGCTTGGGCCCCTACCATTTTTCTCCTCATCCTTCTGGTATCAGCCCTCGCATCATACCCTTACCCCGACCTCACCCTTGTTATCCTTGTCATCCTCGCATTTCCGTTCGCCCTCTACCTGTCGCTTCAGCAGAGCCAGTACATCTGGCCGGATCCTTTCGCTGACGAAGCATACCCGTGCTCCGTTCCACCACCTGACTGACCCTGTGGACAGTCCCCTTGCCCTTACCGTCCGGACGGTAACCTATGATATGATGCACGACGCATCCCCTTTGCCCTTTTCCCTTTCTTGATCTCTGACTCGGTGCGCAGTCACACATGCGACTTATACTTAGCTCCGCAGCTGCACGATCATGCCCCTGTGCGTTTCACTTCTTATTTCGACCTTTGACTCACTTTCTTATCTAGCACGTTCCGCCTCGCCCGTGTCTCAACGCGAACGTGCTTCCCTTTTATGGTTATGCCCTTTACCGTTTGCCTCTCTTGGTAGTACGAGTTATCACCCACTAATATGTCTCCTGTCCTCTATATAAACTCGCTACCATGTACTATATTCCCTAACTTGAATCTACTTGGTTCTTGACCTCCTACTCTCACCAGAGTGATCCTTCTGCCTAGCCAGCAGTCTATATTCTATCTTCTTATCTGCTCTTCGTGGATAAGTCCTTAGTCTCGATCTTTACTCATCGACTTCGTCGACGAGCAAAGCCCCTGTTAACTAGTTGGACTTCCGTCCTTCTAATTAACGACGATCTTACGATTAACCTTCGGGTGTCATAAGTCTTGGCAGATACAGCTCATCGTCTAGCATCCGCTTGACGTAAGCTACCCAATTCGGACATAGGCGTCAAATCTTACTTGCTGAAGCCTCGCCAAGTAAGACCCCTAACCTTGGGCTAGCCCAAGGACGTCCTCGACCGTTGACGACACATGCTCTGTTTGAGCGTCGCCAACAGATACCATCCAAGTCGTAACAGTGCCTTCCCAAGCAGACTGCGCAAGCGGAGAGGGGAGTTCCATTTGCGCTGCTTGGAAAATCCTGCCGATAGCGCCTATATGAGTCTGGAGAGGGTGAGCGACGATGGTGTGATTGGCGTGGGGATGCGGAACGTCGACGTGAGTCTCGAGTTGAACGCTGGTAGTCTCTGCTTCTGTGGTTGTGACTGGTGGATGCGCTTGTGCTCGAGTTAATTCTCTGGTCCATCTGATAGGTCAGATTTGGTGCATGAAGGATGTGGCATGTGGCAGTTTGTGGCATGTGGCATAGTGTGGCATGTAGCATATGGGTGAGGCATGTAGCAAGATGCGAAATGTTGTAGCAGAGGAAATGGAGCGTGTTGTGAGAGTTCATAGCGTGAAAATTATGTGATCGGATCGATAGATATGTTAAAATTAATTGGAGAATGTTAGTGTATGTTTGGTGTATTGAGTACAGGTTGCGAGCACTGACCTTGTAATCGTGCCGATTATCCTGTTTCTTACGCTCTTCGAGATAGACATCATTTCTCGTGCATTCCAGGAGTATCTCGTTGATTCTAGACAAATTATAGGCTCCTGCGGCCGTCTTGACTGCCATATGCCAGTGTTTGCACTGTTTTGCTTGGTATATGAGCAGAGACTTCTGTGCTAAGGGGTCGCACATTGAATGAAAGTCATGGACTTGGAGGTTGCGCCAGAACTTTGCCATCATTGTGATACGATCATCCGGCCAAGAAGCATCTTCCATTGCCTTGATTATGCGTGGGCACACTTGACAGAAATCTTCAAAGGTGAGGTTCTGATCGTCGACGACGCTGTTGGTGTTTCGTGTCGAGGCTGCTGAGACCCATGCTGTGTCTCCTCCTGCTAGAGTAGCCATTACCATCGCATCTTTGTCAACCGAAGACTTGAGTTTCACGTCGTCGAGACCTGCATTGGTAAAATACCACAATTTGACGTAGTCTCCTTTATTGAGCTTGCGAATGGCATAAGCGGATGGGATAATGACAGGTTTCATAGGAACATCAAGACTGGGAATGGAGGTGTACTTAAATTTATTTTTCTTCCTATCCTCTTTGCGTGCAGCTTCATCTTCATCGATGCGGTCTCGGTCCTGTCTCTCTCGCTCTTCCTCGTGGAGACGTTCTAAGTGCTGACGGCGCTCTGCATCTTCTTCTACTTGGTTCTGCCACTGGGCCTTGTCGGCGTTGTTACCCGTTAGCCATATATTCCTTAGTATTATGATGGCTTGGTCTTCATCAATGTTCTGATCGGTAAGTTGTAGCCGAGTGTTGGCGTAAACTTCTTCAGCGTAATCCGGACAGATACTCAGATTCGGGTCGCTGGATAGTCGAGGCATGTTTTTTAAGAGTACTTTGTAATTTTAAAAAGAGTTTATTGTTGTGTGAAAAGGAGGCGAAAGAACGAGTAAGACGACTAAGAGTCGACAAGTACTGAGGGCTTGCATAGTGGTACGGAGCAAAGAAGAGATGTCCCAAAAAGGACATCTGCTGCATAGACGACATTCTATGTTCGTCCTCGTTCCTCGGACTCACTTAGAAAACAACACAACACTGATCATGCGAAACTCTTGATGTGGTCCAGGTTCGACGCACTTTGCGATGAACGTGATAGTCGACTGTCTGAATTGCGTGAGGGCGTTGAATGCACTCCCACTTATCATACAGCACCAAAATCCGGTGCTTATGAAGAACTTGGCCTTGGCAACCATAGACAAATGAAAATAAGTAGCATTTGGAATTGATACAAGCGTTGAAGTGCGAGGGAGTCGTCATTTCCGTTCACGACCTGATTTTGAAGTCTTTCATTGATTCCTGGCACATTCCTGAACTGCCGCTCAGTACAAGTAAAGAAAGCTTTTACACAATGGCTGTAGTACCATCAATCCTGTAGCAAAGATCATCTCTATACTACCTCGATCCCCAAATGCCACCTCAGAGGCCACTCGCTGCTTCAAGAGAACTTGTTTTGATCTTGCTCCCGTTTAGACAGCTCGAAAAGGGTCATTAAAATGTTTTCTGTGTGCTTGAGTATACCATCATGGAAACTCTTATTGGCGATGAGTTGGTTTCACGTTGCCGATGACAGATGTCGCCTGTTGCACAAGACCAAAATCGACATACCTTGAAAGTGTTTACATGAGCGACAACAAAGTGGTCAAAGGGACGTTACTCACATGTCATCATAATAGCTATGGGGTAAGTATTGAGCCTAACTCATTGACAATTGCCACCTCCACTCACGTTGCAGCGTTTACTTTCACTTGGTTCATTTTCAGGGCCTCTTTGTCATACAACATAGACCAATCTTCATCATAAACCAACAGTTTGGCTGCGCCTCGCAGGGGACGTAGATGAGGATAGTCTTCAAACATGTCAGGAATATCTGCCGATGCATGGATCCAATCTCAGCATCTGAAAGAAGATTGAATGACCATCGACGTACCATCTCCCTCGTAAAGCAAATGGGGACATTATCAGACCTCACTTTTTCCCAAACAAACCTGTTGTTCTTTTGAATGACGCGCTGAGCAGAACAGCCTGCCTTCCACCTAAGACAGAAATGATCGGTTGATATATGTCTCGCGGATGGTGGGGACTCACCCTTGGCAGTAGATAGGCTCGTGAAGCACTGCGTAAATCCGGTTGGTGTCAAAGCTCTGTGTTCTCTGTATACTGTTGATAAGCCCATATGAGAGCTTCCAAAAGGTGTTCAAGTCTGTGATCGCTCGGGACACGAGCTCTGCGCATATGAATGAGCCGTCATTGGCGAAGTTGAAGCAAAATTACATATGATGAACGCGATCGATGCCACCTAAGCATATAATATGAAAAGCTATCCCTTCACAGTGAATAGAAACCTCCCATGCGATCCAAACTGCAGGCCGAGTTGTTGCCACCATGAGACCGTCAGATTTCCGCCGTTCGGAATAACAACATTGTTGCCCTCTAGGAAACCTAAGATCCGACGGACCTGTAGTAGACAAACAACTTGATGGAGGCAGACTTGTCTGAATTTCGATCATTTCGAACATGTTGAGGATACTTTGCATAGTAAACCTTGTTTCGTTCTTCCACCTTCGCTAGACAAACTGTCTGTTCATGACGAGAGTATCGTCGCTGCCTGCAGGCCGAGGTTACTATGATTTGATGGTCATAATTGAATGAATATGCTCCTGTGGGTTCTGCCAAATTGATCAGAATCATGCCCCATAAGTATACAAAGAAAAAACATACCAGTGTTCTGTGAGTCAGTGACCGCAGCGGGTGTGAAAATCGATGACCCATCGATGACCGTCATCGGTGAAGCTCATTTGATCATAAACATGTTGGGTGTCATCGGTTCTTGTATTCCTTATAGTGATAAAGAGACGTGTTTCAATGTCTTCGAGTCATGGAAAAGAGGATGAGGTGAATGCGCTGATTTGCAAATATGATAGCCTAGACCGTCGTCTAGGCATCAGTTGAGTCCATTTGGCAGAAATAGTGGGTGACTTCCCATAGGCTAAATAATGCGGAATATCTTATAACAGACTTTGAAAATCATTTGCAAAACATAATCTGTATAGAATACTAAACCGTAACACATTTGGAATAAAATAATGTGTATGTATGTCCGAGTTTTTTCTTCATCACAACTAGTATGCTCTGGTGAACCACACAGAAGAGATGGCATTGCTCAATGACGAAGAAGATGCGAGAATCACCTTGTTATCCTCGTGCTTTTATATGTCTCCCAAATTGCTGCCATCAGATGTGCAGGTGATTCTCGAAGTTCTAAGTCATTGATAGCGAAAAAAACCTGTGATGGTTGCATTAATATGTTAGCACATGCATGTACATTGAGAAGTAAAATACTTAACTGAAGCCTAAAAGATGGATGGTGGCTGTTACTGGACAGATACAG